AAATGTACTAAATCATTTATATAGAATTATATAAGCTAGAAGAAAAATTTATTAGTCTAACCAAATAGAGATTTTCTCAAGTATTATATATCAAAATAAAATAGTTAAAAATATACTTTTTTTTTTAATAAAAATAAAAAAATCTACAATAAAATTATGTCTCAAGTTTGAAAAGGTTTAATAAAAATTGTAACAATACTCTTTATTTTAATTCAAGTACCATACAGCATTTTGCAAATTTAACTAAGAAAAAAAATATGATGAATAGTTAATTGATGAATATATTTTTTTATACTTATTATATTATAAGTTTGTTAAATTTAGTTAATTTTGTTTAAGTAAAAAAGCCAGTGACTGAAAGATAAGAATAAGAATAGATGTCTAAGCAATTAATAGGTTAAAAAAATTTATAAAATGGGTAAAAGTCATAAATTCTTTAGAAAGCCATCTTTGAAGCCTCTTTAGAAGAAAAAATTAAAATATTTTAGAAATACAACCTTGATTTACTTAATAATGATTATATTGATAAGAAGAATTAATAGAGAAACAATATTTTTTTGTTTAGAACAGTTGATATTGTTTGGAGGGTATTAGATTATTTTCCAGTATTTAATCCTTACAATAAATGTGTTATAGCTTGGGATGTCTTATAAATATTAGCTGTTTTTAATTTACTTTTTATATATCCTCTCATCTTTGTCATAGAAGCAGCTTTTAATAACCGCTATGAATATTTTTGTTCAATTATTGTTTTGATTGACATGATAATAAGATTAAACATTGGATTTTTTGATATGGACACATTCATCATTTGCAAAAAGAAAATATTTCAGCACTACTTAAAGCATGGCCTTCCTTTTGATATTTTAGGAAATGTTTCTATAGTTTATTATTTATTTTTTCCATAACATGATTAGCCTTTACTTCTACTTATATTAAGCAAGTTATATATGATAAGGAAACTTTTGATAAATGTAGAAGAAACTTATTTTCATAACTTTTAGTTAAGAAACTATATGAAGCTTTTAAAGCTTATTTGTACTTTAATATTTTTTGCCCATTTATTTGCCTGTGGATGGATTTATGTTGGAAATTTAGGTTTTCCTAATAACTGGATTTAAAAAGCAGGTCTCTAAAATGATAATTGGTAATTTAATTAATTTAATTATTCATAGAAACTCTTTTTACAACCACTAGAATTATTCTAAAATCGTATTACATATAGTAATTAATCTTCATTTAGCCCTCTACTTTTCTAGAGAATTTTATAATTTTATGGGTTTATAAGGACTTTATAAAGAAATGGCTTCATTTTTAGTGAAGTTTATAATTAATTAATTACAGTAAATTTGAAAAATTAACATCAACCAGATATAAATTATTAAATTATAACGATTTTTAGTCCTCCCTCAATGAATAAATAATATACAATTCGTAACAGCAATCAAATATACTTTTTTCACCTGGTATTTTATTTTAAAAAAAGAAATTATTTGCTAATAATATTAAATAATTTTATTAAAATAAATATTTTGGTAATTAATTTGATTAAATTTAATTATTATTTCAGTTTTATTTTGAGAAATTGATAAAATTATTAATAGGCAGTCTGTCTACCTAAAGTCTATTTATTATGCCTTAGTAACTATGATCACAGTAGGATATGGTGATATAACTCCTTAAAATTACAGTGAGACGATTTTTGTATCTTTTATAATGGTGCTTGCATGTGGAATATTTGGATATTCATTGAATCAAATAGGTACAATTTTCAATGATATTTTTAAGTACTAGGAGTAGTTAAGAGAGAATATTGCAATAATTAGCATTTATATGAAGAAGAAGAAAATATCAACTCCCCTCTAATTTAAAATAAGGCAGTACCTTTAGTAAATTTATTTTTTTATTAGTCCCAAGAAAAAAAATCATCAAATTTACATTTGATATACTTACTTTATTTAAAACCTAAATCTTATTCATAAATATTTTTATTTGATTAATTCTAAAAATGAATGAAAAGGTTTTATTGGAAAGAAAATAAGGAGGAAGAATAATAAAAATAGCTAGAAATTAAACAAATTCTTTCTCAACAACTTTAATCGGAATTAGTTTGGGATGAAAACAAACTCATTTTAAGAGAGGCTAGGATATTAGTAGATAATTTTAGTGAAGAAGTAATGAGAAAAACTGCTTCTATTATAAGACACATTAATTATACTCCTGAGGAGATCATATTTTAAGAAGGAGACAGTGATAATAAAAATCTTTATTTTGTAGAAAAAGGATCTTGTGAAATATTTATTGAAGGCAACGATAAGAAATAAACACTTTATGAGATCTAAAGTGGACAATATTTTGGTACAACAAGCTTTTTCACAGGTTTAAATAGAACTTGTAGCATCAGAAGTTAAGGATTTAGCACTCTTCTGTTTATCAATAGAGATGATTTTATAGATATCTGCAAATAAAGTGCTCCTGATTTTGAAAAATTTTGCTATCTTAGAGATAAAGTTCTCTACGAAAATGATTTTAGTTTTATCAATTCTTAATGCTATTGTTGCCACCAAAGTCATCATTAATTACATGAATGTTAATTTCTCCATTTTAATAATAAAACAAATTTTTTGAATAAATTAACTGAATCTGAAAAACTAACTCAGCTGAAAAGATAAAATGTATAGAATAATAAAAATAAAACACCAACTTTGATAAAATTATGTACAACACAAAAACTTCATAAGCTATTTATGAGGGAAAACTAATCCTAACTGTATGAATACGAATAAAATAATTTTTTGTAGATTATTGCAGATATGTACAATTCAGAGGATTACGAAGAAGATGATAGCATGATTTTACTTAATGAAGAGAGTCCTGTTTTTACAGTCACAAATATAGCTAATGATGAGGTTAACACAATAAAATCAAATTAACGAAGAAATAACTTTGATTAGGAGGAGTCATCTAAATATTTTCAAAAGAGTTTTTCTCTAAATCAGAATTAATAATTATAGCATCAAAACAAATTTCAATAAATGAATTAACAAGAGTATTAAAAGAGTTAATCTTATAATATATAATCTGACGACCATGTTAGTAAAAATAATATAAATGTTAATTTCTTTACTGCAGCAGAACCAAATTACATGCAAACTTAATCGACTGATAGAGGAAGATTTGAAAGCTTTTTATCAAACAAATTTAGATAAGGTGAAGATGGATTAGCATAAAAAAGAGTATCATTTAATGAAGAAATTGTAGATCAAAAAAGAGTGTCATCTTACGAAGCTACCATAGATTAAAAAAGCATGCCTATAATTTCTACAATTCTAGCTATAAATAACTCTAACATTACAAATAATAACTAAGCTTACTCACTGACTAAGGTTGTAAAATCTAATATGCAGCCTAGTGAAAGCAATTATGCAGATAGGTCAAGCATCACTCTTTCTAAAATAGAAGTAAGAAGTAGGAATAATTCTGCTCTTTCAAATGTTTCTTGCTAAAGTCCTCTAACTAAGAAAAGCTAATTGTTTTTCAATAAAATTTCAAATAATTTTATTGAATAAAATTTAGAGTAAGAAGTAAACAATAAATAATTAGAGTAAAATTCTTTTATCCACTAAGAAGAAAGACAATACAACCTAGATTAAAATGAATTATAATTTTAATAATCTTTAAGTTCCATAGTAAGCAAAAACCAAAAAGATAAACTTGTTAAAGAGTCAAGCTAATCTTCTTCTTAAATTTAAAAGTTGCTACCTTCTAAATAAAGTTCATAAATTTATGCAACCTAATCAAAATCATCAGGAACAAACGTTCTTACTACTCTTTTAAAGGTTAAAAATATTACCAAAAAAATAAAAAATAAGTTCGAAAATGCAAAAAAAAATTTATAAGAATTATAAAACTAATAAAGCAGCAATGATAAAAGTGCTAAGTATTCAGAACTAAAAACTTTCGTGTCAGAAAAAAAATAAAATCAAAATTATGGAATTAACTTTGAATTGATATCTTAACACAGTTAAATGTTTTTTTTCTTGATGAAGCATCGGAATATAGTTACTTATTCAACTACATAACAGATCCTTGATGAATAATTTGAAAAAATGTAAGACTATACACATTATTATCCCTTAGGGAACTCATAAATAGTTACAAAACTATTGTCATTATCATAAAAAGATAGGGTTAAACATTATAAACGTATTTTAGAGCTGTCGAAAATAGAATATAAAAATGATAATTCTCGTAATGTAAATAGCATAAGTAGATTAAAAAATAAATTCTAAAAAGAGTAAAATTCAGTCAATACTTTTAATAAATTCAACAATTATGATGTTGATGATTCTAAATCTCAAACTTTCCAGGAAATTTTCAAAGACATAGATGGAGATAGTTATTCTAAAATTTTGAACTAAAACAATCACAATCTCAAATAACATTTTTCATAAATTGTTAATTAAAATCCCAAGCGTAGAAAAACCACAGCCACCAATAAAATAGATTAGTCAAGTTAAGATGTTGAAATGCCTACTCCAAAATTACAATCCCAAATTAATAGCATAAATTAAATGTCTATAAATTTAGGATCTCCTATTTTCAATTATAATTAAAAAAGATAAAGTTAAGGATCACCTTTCGTCTTTTCTAAACAAATAGCTTTAAATTAAATACCTCAAACTAATTAAGCTTATATTAATACAGGATTAATAGAAAAACCATAGCTCACTACGAAGACTAAATACTAAATTACTACAATAAAAGAAGTAGATTAACAAATAAATGATATGGATAATGATATAAATTCTAATAGTATTATTCCAGATCCTTAAAACTCTTTTAACATAACTATACCCAACTTATAAGTTAATAATTAATAATTTAAAGAATATTTGGATGATTTATGAAAAATAAATATCTTTAAAAAAATATTAATAATCAAAAAATTAACATTTTATTTTATCTATCCACTACTGCAAACATACATAAAGCTTTTCCTCTTAATGAATATTAAATAAATAGTATTTCTATTTATTTTTTGAATATAAACATAGATAGATTTTTAGACCTTCAATAATAAGTATTAATTTTTTTTAGAATGTATCTATTAATGAAAATAATTTGAGTAAATTAATTTAAATTTTGAATGATTATTTTTATAAATAATACCTTTCTGTATTTATTAAATAATAACTAATATTTCATTTTTGGTGAATTTAAGCATTTATTCTAAGTAGTAATAAAAAATTTACAAAAATATCTTTATTTATTTATTAATAATGTAAGTTTAATTTTAGTTCATTTATGATTTTATTTATTATTTTATCAACATTTAAAATATCTTACAGTTTGCTTTTGTTTTAATTGTTATGAGAATAAAATACTAGCATATCCTTCATTAGATTTTTACCTTACACAATTATGAGTGTGAATTTTATATTTTGGATTAATTAAATCACATCTGTTTAATTTGCATCATTTATACTTATTTGGAATTAATTTTTACGCAATTATAGGTTGAAAAGGAAATTGAAATATTAATTATAAACAAACACTAAACAAAAGATTTAAATTTAGTAATTATTAACTAACTTAAAAAAGTTGATAAATGAAAAAAGAGCTCTTGATTACTCTTGGAATAACTGCGCTATCAGCTATTGCTATAGTAACTGGTTATTTAGTCTACGAATAAAAAAAAGTAGTAGTTATTAACAATCCACCTTTTCCTACTACTTTCCCTCAAAATTTCAGCTTAAAAAAGGGAGAGTTTTTGTTAAATGATCAACCACTCTACATCGCAGCTGGTGAAATTCATTTCTCTAGAGTTCCTCATCAATATTGGAGAGATAGAGTAAAAATGATTAAGGCTTTAGGTAAAAATATTTATTTATATAATACTCGAATTTATTTGTTTTATTCAAAATATTTTATTCAGGTCTCAACACTTTAAGTGTTTACATTATGTGGAACTACCATGAAATATAACCTGGTGTTTTTGATTTTGAAAGTGATGATAAAAATTTAAGAAATTTCCTTTAAATTGCTAAAGAAGAATAAATGTATGTTCTCATTAGACCAGGTCCATACGTTTGTGCTGAATGGGATTTTGGAGGTCACCCATACTGGCTCCTTAAGGATGAAAGCATTGAATTACGTTCAACAGATCCTAAGTATTTAGAGGCTATCACTCTTTATTTGAATAGAGTTGCTTAAGAAATAGAAGATTATCAAATAACTAACAACGGCACAATAATTCTTTTATAAGTTGAAAATGAATATGGATACTATGGAAAGAACAATAAATATCCTATTAAGCTGTAAGAAATGTGGGAAAGCACTGGTAAAATCAAAGTTCCCTACTATACTGTTGATAAATGGATATTCAGTAAAGTTGGACATGTTAAAGGTGCTGCTTTTGGTTTAAATCCAGGTACACTTGATATAGGTTATTGGTATACACATCTCCTAGAAAAAGATATGCCCGTCATGAGCTCTGAAACTTATCCTGGGTAATTAATATATACATTTTCTTTAAAATAATTTTTTGAAATGAGTTTATTTTTAAAAATTGAGAATAAAAATTCAATAATAATTTGCATGAACTATGAATTCAAGCATTTTGTAAACGAATTTGATAATATTGTAAGCGAAGTATAGAATATTACTTTTAACCACACAATTAATTTAAATAATGTAATTAAAAACTTAATTAATTTAAAGCTTATAGATATTTATTTTTTTACATAGACAACTAAATAATTGCTCATAAAATGTTCAGCAATTAATTTATAAGAATCAATAAATAATTATTTGGTCTTAAAAATTTATCTAATATAAATAAATCCATTTTTTTAAAGAGAATAGTTCAAAGCAATATGAAAATAAAACTTTTTATTCTTTTTTTTTAAGATAAATTATTGAAAATGTAATTTTGAAAAATAAAATAAGCATTAAAGAACATGAATGAAAAAATTCTTTAAAGATAAGTTTTTGACTTGAAATATAACAAAAATACTTATTAATTCCTTTAAACATTTTTACTATTTTAAATTAACTTTGAAACTCTAATTTTTCTATTAAGAAGCTTGAAATTTATTCTAATTAATTCCTAATAACAATTTATTCATTTTTCCATTTAGCATTAAATTGATTCATTTTAATAGTATGAAATAAAAAAAGAAGTTTATTTCAAATATTAGAAAGATTATTGATTATCAATACATTTAAATATTTCTTATATTTAATTTTAATTTTATTTTAAAACAATCAAGAATAAAATGAATGTTTTATGATTTAATAATTTTATTAATCTGCTTATTTTATTTTGATTATAAAATTTTTAATAAATAAATTAAAATAAAAGTAATTTATTAAAATTATTGAAATAAATCTGATAATTATAATTATTTAATATATTTTGATAAATTTAAATAGATGGCTAACTCATTGGGGGTAAAATTACTAGGGAAAAAGCACTAAGGACACAGTTAAAATGTTTGAAAGCATTGTAAGAAAAAGACACTCGTTCTCTATTTATATGGTCTTTGGTGGCTCTAATTTTGGATTAAATGCAGGAGCCAATAATAATCCATTTAACACTCTATTCTAACCTGATATCACTAGCTATGATTACGATGCTCCTATTAATGAGTAAGGTGCTGCCACTGAAAAATACTATGCTTTAAGGGAAATGTTTTAGACATACTTCAAATGGGATTTCCCTCCTGTTCCTTAAATTACTCCTGTCATGTAAATATCTCCTTTTACAGTATAAAGAGTTTCTTCTTTATGGTAGTTAATTGAAAAAACTCCTAAATAGATATTTGATTCCCCTAAAAGATTTGAATTCTTTGACTAAAACTAAGGTATTATTGCATATACCTTTGAAGTTCCTCTAGTAAAAGGTAAAAATGAATTGAAATTTGAATAAATCAGTGATTATGCAAGAATTTATTTAACCGACTCAAAGGAATATCTAGGAACTATTGATAGAATACATAACCAAAAAAGTATTGTTTTCAGCTAATTCTATAACTCACGTGCAAATATCACTGTTATTGTTGAAGCTTTTGGTCATGTTAATTTTGGAAAACACATGTATGATCCTAAAGGTATTTTTACAAACATAACTATCAACAAATAATAAGTTTAATCTTCATTTTCTCATCAACTCATTCCTCTTCAAGATATTCCTAATTTCACTGATTCAATATCAGGTAAAGATGTTAATGTAGAAGGCTTCTTCTAAGCAAATTTCAATTTAGATTAAAATACTACAATAATTGGAGATACTTATTTGGATATGAGTTCATGGGGTAAAGGTTATGTTTGGGTTAATGGATTTAACTTAGGAAGATTCTGGAGTGAAGGTCCATAACAAAGATTATTCTGCCCATCTACTATACTCTAAAAGGAAAACAACCATATTGTTATTTTAGACTTGCTTCAAAATAACTCATCTCAAGTTTCTGGGTAGCTTAGTTTGAAATGAAAAATTATTAAATAAATAAATAAATAAACAATTTTATAAATCTACTTTTATTTTATATACATAAATATGGTATGATATTAAATTTTTAAATAACAAAACACTATCAAACATTTTTTTTTTTCCATATATTTGAGTATTAGTTAAAAAAAAATAATGTAAAAAAAGTGTAATAATAAATGATGAGTTAAAGTACCTAATTTTATTATTTTAATAAATTTACTAGAAAAATATTTAGGCTGAAATTTAATTTAATATTCTTTCAATTAAGTTAAGAAATAAATAAATATGAATGTAAATTTCAAAAAAATTTTTTATTTAGCTCACAACATATTTTTTTCATAAAAATTAACATTTTAACAATCTAATCATAATGTAGTGATAAAGGAATATTAATGATATCGTAAAATTTTCATTCTTATTCTTTAAATTATAAAAAGTAATTTATGATCTTATTTTTTGAATCTTTATTAACTTCTTTATTTTAAATTGCTATACCTTTTAATTCATTTAGCATCTTTCTGATGTATTAATCTGATATTAAAGAGAAAACTTTTTCAATTGTTAAAGTTTTTGATGTAATCAATGTTTCTAAAATATATTTTATCTATCCTTTAGAGTTTAATTTAAATTTACTAATATCTATTCCTAGATTACGAAAGTTTATATCTAATTTTCTTAAAAGACCAATTAAAACCATCTCATTTTCCTTTTTATCTATTTTATCAATAAAATAGCTTTCTAAACTTTTACTTTTCTAGTTTTAAGTGCCAGATGTTTACTCTAAATTTAATTTATCTTAGCCAATCAAGTTATTTTCATTTCTTTATTCATTTTGATTATTATGATTTTTAATTCTTTTATCAATCGTTTATCCTTCCTCAAAGGGTTTATTTTCAATTTTAATGTCACTTTACTTTTTTTCTTAAGAATTGCTATTTTTTTCATTTTTCTTATTATATTCATTTTCTCCTTAATCCGAATTTCGGCTTTCACTTTATTAGTCTGTATCAGGATGATCAAAATTAATTTCTATGCCTTAAAATAAGCAAAATTATATAATATCTGTTGGATCTGGAGCAATATTTTAATAATTAATTATTTTACCATATTTTTAAAAATATTTCTATTAGCATTCTTAACACTGAGTTTCTGTAAAATTATTATCAATTATTTCAATCTCTAAGTCAATAATATAAATTAATTCTTTAAGAGTACATCTTAAGTAAGGTTAATCATTCAGTAAACTTTTTATTTAATCAAAAAAAATTTAAGAATATTGATTTTTTCTTTATTCATCATCAATTTTTGAAATTGCTTGAAGTATAAATTCTTCGTGATTTTCCATTTTGCAATTTTTAGCTTCTTGTTTACAATTACAACGAATTTTGAATTTAAATGAGTAAAAAATTCTAATCAACAATATTCCTAAGCTATAATAATCTATATATCTAGTTTTAAAATTATCCTTAGCTTCATAGTCTTCAGTATAACCAATTGTTTCTTCAACCAAAAAGCCTGATTCACTAAAATCAATTATCTTAATTTTATCGCTTGAGTTAATTAAAATATTTGATAATTTGATATCCCCATGCACAATATTGTGCTCATGTAAATATTCAATAGCTTAAAGAATTTATTTAGAAATTTTAAGTTTTTTCAATTTTTGATTTTGATCATAGAATTATTAACTTTATACAATTTTTTTATGAAAGAAAATAGAGTTTCGCCCTCAAAATATTCTAAGAATATCTAAAATTATTTGTTATTTTTTTAATGACCTACATATTGAATTATGAGGTTGTTTTTAGGTAGATTGGAAAGAATACTAATTTCTCTCATTTGTTATTATGAATAATCTTTTTCTTCTTCTTCTTATGGTTATTTCAAAGCTACTATACTGACTTGATTACCTTTAAGTTTTACTTTTTTAACAATAAACTAGGAACTACTTATATTTTCAAGCTCATCATATGAATATATTGAATGTTAGGATGATGATTTTAATTCAATCATTAATTCTACAAATTTAATATACATTTATAAATTTATTTTGAAAACTTCGTACTTTTTTCTGTTAAGAAAACCATAATATTTCTTTATATTTTCGAATTTTTATTTGGTATCTTCTAGCTCTTTTTTATCTGTATCTTTGGTTTGTTAGATAAATTAATCATGTGCTATAAAGAATTATATACTTAAATTTTCAAACATCTTATCAGTGGATTGTAAACAAAAATTTGTTTTTAATCTCTTGTTAATAAAATTTCTGATATCTAAATCTTATTTGAAAGAGAGAATAAAATTTTTAAATTATTGAGATTGAAATTAGGTTTCAACAGAAGTTTTATTTTTTATAATTTAATTAATCAAGTAATTCATGATACTATTCCCGTTTATTAATAAAGAACAAAGAGTTTAATAAAATTATCTTTATCTGTAAAGGTTTTAATACATATAGCTACCTATTTACTATATTAATTCTTAAATTTATTCTCTAAGTAATTCTGTTTCACTTGAATTTTCTTCATTTTAGTTTTCACTTTTATAAAGTAATTATAAAGTTAATAAGTTTATCCTACAGATATTAAAGGAAAAAATCGATGGAGCAAGATTTTTATCATATGTTTTCTATCTATAACTGCTCAGTATCTCTTACTCTTAATCTCTGTTATTTGATATATTCTTTATTAAATCTTCCCAATAAGTAAGATTTTTTTCTTTTTCTTAAGGTTTTTTATCATAAAGTCTTTTTCCTCTTACAATTTGCTAAACATATCCTATATCTATGTTAGTAGGTTGATAGGGTATTTTCTCATTGATATCATAAAACCTAACTAAATCTGGTAAAATTGCCAAAATCAAAGCACTTTATGCTGAATCAATGTACAGCTGGAGCTATTATTTGTTGATATATTTTTCTGAAACTTAATACTTCTCCTAAGTCCATTCTTTAAATAACTAAACTAAGCTTTTCTAACTAAATTCATGTTTATTTTGGTTTTCAAATTCATAGGAAATGTAGTCATCATTCGATTCAGAAAGTGTTAACTTCTCTTAAAAATCTATCATTAATCTAAGAAGAAACTGATATCCTAGTTTAAATTTGATATTATCAAAACTTTTGATTTTTTTTATCAACTTGACTAGCTTTTGCTCCTTGTTCAATGCTAGATAGTTAGTTTTCAGCAAATTTAAGATACAAATTAATAGAAAATAAAAATATATTTCATCTTCATCTTCTTATTTTAGGGTACTAATATACTCTGAATAAAACACAAAATAAAATGCATCAAATTTATCAAAAAATTTGAATTCAGAAATTTCATATTTTTTGATTAAATTAATTTTTGACTCTTGTGCTGAGTAGCTATCTAAAAATTATAAGTAAAGTAATACTCTGTTATTTCTGTATTGATCTATCAAAATCATGTTTCCCCAAATTTCGTAACATTCAATCAAGTCATTTAAGAAAGCCTCTTCATCTTTTAATTCTTATTAATCCAATTAAATTCTATCCAATTTAAATTTTTAGAAGTAATTGCTGTATTTATGTTCTTTTAGCTTTAAAAAGCAGAGAGTAAAAGGCTGCGATTCATAACTCTCTTCATAATCTATTTAAATTTCTTAATTATTTTTTTTCTATATATCTTTAACTTATTCTTTAATTAGAGTATCTACTTTGTCTACTGTTGATATTTCCTCGATCCATTATATACAACATTTTAAATTATAACTAGTTGGTCCGCAAGATACATAATTTCTTTTGTAATTCGCTTTGTCAACAAAATAAGTTATGATAAAGTAATAGAAAGAAAATAAGTTCCATTCCTTTGTGTTTTTCTAATCACTGTGTAATTCTAATTATTGCTATATGAATTCTGAGCGTTTTTTAAAAAACTCTTCACTAGTCACAAAGCTTGAAATATCTATTTGCTGAAGTGGTAACCCTTATTTTTAACTGATTTCATTTAATGTACTTAAAATTATTTTTTTTTTCATTTTTTAAAGGTTTTGTTTGAATACTGGATCAAAAAAAATGCTTTTATCCATTTTTGTGATTTAAGTCATTTGTTATTAATTTCTAATCTCTTCAGATACTTTTTAAATACTGCTCGCTAATAATTCAACTGCATTAATTATTATTTTCTTAGTTTATTAAGCAATATTCTTAATAAGGTTTTTACCAAAAATATTTAAGCCCTTCTTATTATCCATTTTTTATTTTTATTAATTGTGATTATTATTTAATTATTATGATTTATCTTAGAAAAAATATAAAAATTTCACACCAAAATTTATATTAATTTATTTGAGCAAACCTTAGCTTTTAAAATAAAAAATGTAGTTTATCCAAAACATTTTTGTTAGCTTCTTAGTAAAATTGCTCATAAAATAAATTTATCTTGGTTGATAATAACAAAAAACAGATAAAGTAGATTCTTAATATAATCATCAAAGAATAAAACTCTAAAAAAATTGAAACTTTTTAGAGATTTAAAACACTAATGTTGACATATTATTTAATATTTTTTCTTTTAAATAAATGGTTTCTTTATAAACTAATATTAAAAATATCGTCAAACTATCAATGAATACAAAAAATTTAAATAATAAAAATATATTTTTTACATATTAAAACCCAACTAAAATGCATAAAAAAAAACTAAATTAATATCAAAAGCAGTTTAATTTTTGAGTCATTACTTTTATTTTAATTACTTCTTCAACTAATGTTTGTGATTTTATTTGATTTGAAAAAAAAGTAACTCAAAAATTATAATCAAATAAAAAAAATTCATTTATTTCTTTTATAATCTTTTATTGATAGATCATATGATAACATTTTTATAATAAAAAGGTTCGCTTATTTTATAATATTTGATGCTTATTTTTTGATTTATTAAATTTTGTATGTTTGTTTTATTTAATAAATTATTAGTTCATGCTACAGAAATGTTTAAGTAAAGAGTTTTAATCTATGTTTATAAGTACAATAATTACTCCAAACCTAATATGATTTATAAATCTTTTTCTATAAAAAACAGATTTTTAATTAAAGCAAGATATTATTTTATAAATCCTACCAAATTATACTTCTAATATTTGATTGTTTTCATCTTCTTTATTTGAAATTTTCATTTAGTTTATATTTGATTTCTATCTCAATCTAAATTCAAATTATAATTTGATTGCTTTTTATCCATAAATTAATTAAATATTTTCTTAAAGGAAGATAGAATATTATAAACCCTCTCCAATTACACTTTTAATATTTGATTATTTTTTTCTAATTTTATTAATTAAAAATAATTAATAATACTAAATGCCAAGTAATAGATTAGAATAGTTGCTATCTTTGACAGTTAATTTATTTATCTCTAATCTAAAATCAAAAGTATTTATAACTAATATTAAATAACTTTATAGATATTGATATTATTTTAAACTTAATTTGGCAAAAAATTTAATCATCTTTGTATGAAATAAATTTAATATTAATTAATATTTTTATTCTTTTTGTTCATGATTATAGATGTCTTTAATAGAAAGATACATCCAAAACTATTGTTTTATTATTTTTCTTTTGATTTACCTTATGAATTAAAAACTATGCTTACTTTTTATTACTTATTAATCAAAATAAAATTAATAAATAAAATTAAATATTTAATACTATTTAATATAAATTTCATTATTTTGAACACTAATAATAATAAAATATTATAGTTTATCAGTAGTTTTCTTTTTTCATATGAATTAAATAAAAGCTGTGCTTACTTTTTATTACTTATTAATCATAATAAAATTAATAAATAAAATTAGATATTTAATATAAATTTCATAATTTTGATTAAAATTTTAAAAGAGAAAATAATTATTAAAATTAAAAAATTAAGAAAAAAAATTTTAAAAAAAGAAGAGCTAATTCTCAGAGCTATAATTAATGATGATTTTCAATAACTAATTTGATAATTTTAATAAATTTACTAGAAAAATATTTAGGCTAAAATTTATTTTATTATTTTTTAAAAAAGTTAAAAAACAAATAAAATGAATGTAAATTTCAAACACATTTTTTTTATCCCACAACATATTTTTATTATAAAAAATAACACCACATCAATCATCTAATTATAATGGATTAATAAAGAAATAATTATAGTCTCTTAAAAACTGTCATTCTTTAAATTGTAAAAAGTAATTTTTGATTTTATTTTTTTAATCTTTACTAAAATCTTATTTTTAAATAACTATACCTATTAATTCATTTAGCATCTTTCTGATTTATTAATCTGATATTAATAATAAAACTTTTTCAATTGTTAAAGTTTTTGATTTAATCAAAGTTTCTAAAATATATTTTATCTTTACTCTAGTGCTTTGTCTAAATTTACTAACATCTATTTCTAGATTACGAAAGTTTATATTTAATTATCTTAAATGATAAATTAAAATCATATCATTTTCCTTTTTTTCAAATTTGTCAATAAAATAGTTTTCTAAGCTTTTACTTTCCCAGTTTTATGAGTTAGATTTCTACTATAAATTTAGTTTTTCTTTACCATATTAGCTATTTTCACTTATTTTTCTTAATTAAATTTGATTATTATGATTTTTAATTCCTTTTTTAATCGTCTATTCTTCATAAAAAAATTCATTTTCAATTTTACTGACACTTTAATTTTTTTCTTGAGAATTGTTATTATTTTCAGAAAATAATTAGTTTTAATTTAAATCTTTTTCACAGTCTTATTATTTATTTTCTTCATTAATCTCATTTTAATTTTGACTTTCACTAACTGAGTAATTATATGGATAATTTATCCCTTGATTAATCTGATCAGTGCTAATATTATTGATTTCATATAAGAGATTTTATATCATATCTGTTCGATCAATAACAATATTTTTATAATCAATTATTTTACCATATTTTTAAAAATATTTGTATTCGCATTCTTAACGCTGGGTTTCTGTAAAATTATTATCAATTATTTCAATCTCTAAGTCAATAATATAAATTAATTCTTTAAGAGTACATCTTAGGTAAGGTTAATCATTCAGTAAACTTTTTATTTAATCAAAAAATATTTAAGAATACTGATTTTTTCCTTATTCATCAATTTTAGAAGTTGCCTGAAGTATAAATTCTTCATGATTTATTAATTTACATTTTTTACTTTCTCCACAATTACAAAGAATTTTGAATTCTAATGAGTAAAAAATTCTAATCAACAATATTCCTAAGCTATAATAATCTATATATCTAGTTTTAAAATTATCCTTAGCATCATAGTCTTCAGTAAAACCAATTATTTCTTCAACCAAAAAGCCTGATTCGCTAAAATCAATTATCTTAATTTCATCTCTTGCGTTAATTAAAATATTTGATAATTTGATATCCCCATGCACAATATTGTGCTCATGTAAATATTCAATAGCTTAAAGAATTTATTTAGAAATTTTAAGTTTTTTCAATTTTTGATTTTGATCATAGAATTATTAACTTTTATACAATTTTTTTATGAAAGAAAATAGAGTTTCGCCCTTAAAATATTCTAAGAATATCTAAAATTATTTGTTATTTTTTTAATGACCTACATATTGAATTATGAGGTTGTTTTTAGGTAGATTGGAAAGAATACTAATCTCTCTCATTTGTTGTTTTGAATAATCTTTTTCTTCTTCTAATGGTTATTTCAAAGCTACTTTTCTGCCTCCATTTTCTTTAAGTTTTACTTTTTTAACAATAAACTAGGAACTACTTATTTCTTTAATTTCATCATATAAATATGAATATTATGATGGTGATTTCAGCTCAATTATTAATTCTACAAGTTTAATGTACATTTGTATATTTATTTTGAAAGCTTCATACTTTTTTCTGTTAAGAAAACCATAGTATTTGATTATATTTTGGAATTATTATTTAGTATCTTCTAGATCTTTTATCTCTGTTACTATAGTCTATTTGATAAATTAATCATGCACTATTAAGAATTGATCTCTTAATCTTTCAAATGTTTCATCTGTGGATTATAAAGAAAAATTTCTGATAAGTCTCATATTAATAAAATTTCTGATATCGATATCTTATCTGAAAGAGAGAATCAAATTTTTGAATTATTGAGATTGATAATAGGTTTCAACAGAAGTTTTATTTTTTATAATTTAATTAATCAAATAATTCATGATACTATTTTCCTTTATTAATAAAGAACAAAGAGTTTAATAGAATTATCTTTATCTGTAAATGTTTTAATACATATAGCTACCTATTTACTATATTAATTTTTCAATTTACTCTCTAAGTTATTTTGCTTCACTTGAATTTTCTTCATTTTAGTTTTCACTTTTATAAAGTAATTATAAAGTTAATAAGTTTATCCTACAGATTGTTAGACTAAAAATAGGAGGTTGATTTTCATCACTGGGTATCATGTTGTTATTACTGTTCTTTATCCTGAATTCTTTATCTCTAACATTTAATATATTCTTTATTAAACCTTCCCAATAAGTAAGATTTTTTTCTTTTTCTAAAGGTTTTTTATCAAAGAGTCTTTTTCCTCTTACTATTTGCTAAACATATCCTACATCTATGTTAGTAGGTTGATAGGGTATTTTCTCATTTATATCATAAAACCTAACTAAATCTGGTAAAATTGCCAGAATCAAAGCACTTTATGCTGAATCAATGTACAGCTGGAGTTATTTTTTGTTGATATATTTTTCTTAAACTTAATACTTCTCCTAAGTCCATTCTTTAAATAACTAAACTAAGCTTTTCTAACAAAATTCATGTTTATATTGGTTTTCAAATTCATAGGAAATGTAGTCATCATTCGATTCAGAAAGTGTTAACTTCTCTTAAAAATCTATCATTAATCTAAGAAGAAACTGGTATCCTAGTTTAAATTTGATATTATCAAAACTTTTGATTTTTTCTATCAACTTGACTAGCTTTTGCTCCTTATTTAATACTAGATAGTTATATTTAATCAAATTCAACAAACAAATAAGAAGAAAATAAAAATATATTTCATCTTCATCATCTTATTTTAGTGTGCTAATATATTCTGGATGAATCAAAAGAGATAATATATCAAATTTATCAAAAAATTTGAATTCAGAAATTTCATATTTTTTGATTAAATTAGTTGTTGACTCTTGTGCTAAGTAACTGTCTAAAAATTATAAGTAGAGTAATACTCTGTTATTCCTGTATTTGTCTATCAAAATCATGTTTCCCCAGATTTCGTAGCATTCAATCAAGTCATTTAAAAAATCCTCTTCTTCTTTTAATTCTTGTTAATCCAATTTAATTCTATCCATTTTAAACTTTTTGAAATAATCGCTGTATTGATGTTTTTCTTATGATTAAAAGTAGGGAATTAAAGGCTGCGATTCATAACTTTCTTCATAATCTATTTAAGTTTCTTCTTTAATTGTTTTCTATATATCTTCAATTTTTTCTTTAACTTTGTCAATAGTTAGATTTTCCATAAAATATTATATACAATCTTTTAATTTAGAATCAGTTGGTCCGCAAGATTCATTATTTTTTTTGTAATTCGCTTTGTCAACAAAATAAGTTGTGATAAAGTAATAGAAAGAAAATAAGTTCCATTCCTTTGTGTTTTTCTAATCGGAATGTGATTCTAATTATTGCTATATGAATTCTGAATGATTTTTGATACACTCATCACTAGATATGAAGCTTGAAATATCAATTTGCTGAGGTTGTAACCCTTATTTTAAACTTATTTCATATAATATACTTAAAATAATTTTTTTTTTCATTTTTTAAAGGTTTAGTTTGAATACAGGATCAAAAAAAATACTTGTATCCATTATTGTGATTTAAGCTTTTTGTTATTATTTTTTAATCTCTTCAGTAACTTTTTAAATACCGCTCGCTACTAATCCAACTACATTAATTATTTTTTAGGAATTTTATTATGGTATTTATTAAGCAATATTCTTAAAAAGGTTTTTACCTAAAAAATTTAAGCCCTTCTTATTATCCATTTTTTATTTTTTATTAATTGTATTTTTAAATTAATTATTATGATTTATCTTGAATAAATCTAAAAATTTCAAACACAAATTATGATTAAATTGTTTGAGCAAACCTTAGCTATAAAAGCCAAAAACGTAGTTGATTCCAAACATATTCTTTAGCTTCTTTGTAAAATTGCACTTAAAATGAATTTATCTTTGTTTTTTATTACAAAAAATCGATAAAATAGCTTTTTCATATAACCATAATAGAACAAAACACTAAAAAAATGGAAAACTTCTACAATTTGTTAAAAATACTACTTTTAGAATGCAAAAATAAATACAATATTTAATATTTTTTTCTTTAAAATAAATGATTTTTTATAAATTAAAATATCACTAAACTAACTGAATACAAAAAAAATAAATCTTAAAAATTGTTTTATATATCCTAAAGATTATCTCAAATACAGATTTTGTATCAAAAGTAGTTTAATTTTTTCAGTCATTTATGATAGATCGTTACTTTTATTTTAATTACTTCTTCAATTAATATTTGTGGTTTGATTTGAACAGAAAAAGCAGATCAAAGATTATAATAATATTTAAAAAATACATTAATTTCGTTTATAATCTTCTGTTGATAGATCAGATAAGATAACATTTTTATATTATAAAATTCAATTCTTTTACAATATTTGATGTTTATTTTTTGATTTATTAAATTTTACATGTTTTTTTTCTTCAAAGTAACAAAAAATATTTTATTTTCAAACCTTTAAATATTTTCCTTTTATTTAATAAATTATTAGTTCAAGCTACATAAATATTTTAGGAAAGAGTTTTATCCTATGTTTATAAGAATATTAACTACTCTATACTTAATATCATTTATAAATCTTTTTTTTTTAAATTTTTTGTTTGTAAAAACAGAATAGCTTGTTAGACATTAAAATTGCTCTACGATTGATGTTTGTTTAATATTTGATAAAGTAATTCAATCAAGCTATTTTAGAAATTTTGTAATAAGTAAAAATAATTGTATGGTGAAAATTTAAAAATCTATTTAGTTTATTTGATTAAAATCTCAAGCTTCATCCAATTTATAATCTGCTTGCTTTTTATCAATACAATAATTAGATATTTAATTAATAGAAGATATAATTTTGTAAACACTCCCCAATTATTCTTTTAATAATTGATTGTTTGCTACTGATTTTATTAATTAAATCCAGGCAATAGATTAGAATAAAGTAATTTATTTGCCTTTTATCTAAAATCCAAAGTTTTCAAAATTAAGATTAAATAACACCAAAGATATTGATATTTTTTTTAAACATAATAGGATCTTTGGTTCAAAACATAATGACGTTTATATGAAATTTAATTAAAGGAAAATAGAATTTTATAGATCCTCTCCAATCATGCTTGTAATATTTGATTGTCCTGATTCTAATTTTATTAATTAAAAATAATCCATAATAATAAAATACAAGTAATAGATTAGGAAAGTTGCTATCTTAAACACAATAATTTATTTACCTCTTATCTAAAATCAAAAGTATTCATAATTAACATGAAATAACTTCAAAGATATTGACATTATTTTAAAAATAATAGAATCACTTAGACTAATAATATAATCATCATCTTAATTATTCATAAAATTTAGATTTGATTTCTTCTCAATCTAAATTCAATTTTAATTATGTTTTTACCATAAATAACTTGACAAGCAAGAAAGAGAATTATAAATCCTCTATAACTATCAATATTTGATTGCTTGCTTGTTTCTAATTTTATCAAAATAATCGATTAGAATAATTTTTATCTTTAAGAAAGTAATTTATTAGCCTATTATCTAAAATCAAAAGTCTTTAAAATTGACATTAAATAACTTCAAAAATATTGAAATAATTTTAATCATTTTGTCTAAAATTTTAATAATCTTTTTTTTATTTAATCTTCAAAATTTATAAAAAATTAAATATTATTATTCTACACATGATTATAGATGTTTTTAATAGAAAGATCATCCAAAACTATTGTTTTATTAATTTTTTGATTTATTATATGAGTTAAAAATTATACTTACTTTTTATTACTTTACTAATCATACTAAAATTAAAAATTAATAAATAAAATTATATTTTTAATATTATTTAATATAAATTTAATTACCGTCATTTCTCATTAACCCTCCCCATTTATAAACTCATAGAGTAAATAAATATCCTGAAATTAAAAAGAAAAAGAAAATTTAAATAAAAGTGCTAATTCTAAGAGTTATAATTAATGATGACTTACAATATCTAATTTTATAATTTTAATAAATTTACTAGAAAAATATTTAGGCTAAAATTTAATTAAAATTTTTCAAAAACATGAAAAAACAAACAAATAAAAATGAATGTAAATTTCAACACATTTTTTTATTTAGCTCAAAACATACATATATTCTTCATAAAAAATAACATTTTAGCTGTCTAATTATAATTTATTTATTAAAAAATATTAATAGTCTCATAAAAACTGTCATTGTTTATATTATAAAAAGTATTTTTTGATATTATTTTTTTAGTCTTTATTAACCTCTTATTTTTAAATAACTATACCTTTTAATTCATTTAGCATCTTTCTGATTTATTAATCTGATATTAAAGAGAAAAATTTTTAAATTGTTAAAGTTTTTGATTTAATCAATATTTCTAAAATATATTTTATCTTTTGTTTAGACTTTAATTTAAATTTATGAAAATCTATTCCTAGATTACGAAAGTTTAAATTTAATTTTTTCAAATAATCAACTAAAACCATCTCATTTTCCTCTTTATCCATTCTATCAGTAAAATAGCTTTCTAAGCTTTTATTTTTCCAGTTTTATGTGCTACTTTGGTTTTCTTGATCTGGAATATTTTAAACTTAATTTATGTCATATAAGTTATTTACATTGATTTTTCTTAATTAAATTTGATTATTTTGATTTTTAATTCCTTTTTTAATCGTTTATCCTTCCTCGAAAATATTATTTCCATAAAATAATTAGCTTTAAATTAATTCTTGATTGTCTAATTATTTATTTTCTTCATCTTAATTTTGACTTTCACTAAATGAGTAACTATCTGAACAAATTATCCCTTGATTAATCTGATCAGTGCTAATATTTTTGATTCCATATAAGAGATTTTATATCATATCTGTTTGATCAATGGCAATATTTTTATAATCAATTATTTTACCATATTTTTAAAAATATTTCTATTCGCATTTTTAACGCTGGGTTTCTGTAAAATTATTATTAATTATTTCAATCTCTAAGTCAATAATATAAATTAATTCTTTAAGAGTACATCTTAAGTAAGGTTAATCATTCAGTAAACTTTTAATTTAATCAAAAAATATTTAAGAATACTGATTTTTTCTTTATTCATCCATTTTTGAAATTGCTTGAAGTATGAATTCTTCGTGATTTTACATTTTACATTTTTTTTTTTCTCCACAATTACAAAGAATTTCGATTTGAAATGAGTAAAAAATTATAATCAACAATATTCCTAAGCTATAATAATCTATATATCTAGTTTTAAGATTATCCTTAGCATCATATCCTATAGTATAACCTATTGTTTCTTCAGCCAAAAAGCCTGATTCACTAAAATCAATTATCTTAATTTTATCCTATGAGTTAATTAAAATATTTGATAATTTGATATCCCCGTGCACAATATTATGCTCATGCAAATAGTCAATAGCTTAAAGAATTTATTTAGAAATTTAAAGTTTTCTCAATTTCAAATCTTTATGATTTTAATCTTTGTATTTTTTATTATCATTTATTTCATTTATGAAAGAAAGTAGAGTTTTGCCTTCATAATATTCTAAAAATATCTAAAAATATTTCTTATTTTTCGAATGACCTTTATATTCAATTATGAGGTTGTTTTTAGGTAGATTGGAAAGAATACTAATTTCTCTCATTTGTTATTATGAATAATCGTTTTATTCTTCTTATGGTTATTTCAATACTATACTTCCTTCATTACCTTTAAGTTCTACTATTTTAACAACAAACTAGGAAATACTATTTATTGTTTCTTTCTCATCATATGAAAATGCTGAATATTCCTATTGCAATTTCAACTCAATCATTAATTCTACAAATTTAATGTACATTTGTAAATTTTATTTGACAACTTCGTACTTTTTTCTGTTAAGAAAACCATAGTATTCGATTATATTTTTGAATTATTATTTGGTATCTTCTAGATCTTTTATATCTGTTAATTTAGTCTATTTGATAAATTAATCATGTACTTTAAAGAAATCATTTCTTAAACTTTCCAAAATCTCATCTGTGGATTATAAAGAAAAATTTCTGATTCCATTTTTGTTAATAAAATTATTAACATTGATTTCTTATTTGAATGAGAGAATTAAGTTTTTAAATAAATGAGATTGATATTAAGTTTCAAAAGTAGTTTTATTTTTTATAATTTCATTTTCTATAGTTTTATTTTCTATAATTTAATTTTCTATAATTTTATTTTCTATTTTATTTTCAATAATTTTATTTTTTATAATTTAATTAATCATATAATCCATGATATTATTTTCGTTTATTAATAAAGAACTAAGAGTTTAATAAAATTATCTTTATCTGTAAAGGCTTTAATACAAATAGCTACCTATTAATTATATTAATTCTTAAATTTATTCTCTAAGTAATTTTGTTTAATCTTCTTACTTTTAACTTTCACTTTAATAAAGTAATTATAAAGTTAATAAATTTATCCTACAGATAGTAAGACAAAAAATCAATGGTGGAAGATTTTCGTTACACTCTTTCTAGGTAGATTTTCTTTTACTGTTCTTTATCTCGAACTCTTAATCTCTCATTTTTTCTATATTCTTTATTAAATCTTTCCAATAAGTAAGATTTTTATCTTTTTCTTAAGGTTTTTTAAGATAGAGTCTTTTTCCTCTTACAATTTGCTAAGCATACCCTATATCTATGTTAGTAGGTTGATAGGGTATTTTCTCATTTATATCATAAAACCTAACTAAATCTGGTAAAATTGCCAGAATCAAAGCACTTTATGCTGAATCAATGTACAGCTGGAGTTATTTTTTGTTGATATATTTTTCTGAAACTTAATACTTCTCCTAAGTCCATTCTTTAAATAACTAAACTAAGCTTTTCTAACAAAATTCATGTTTATATTGGTTTTCAAATTCATAGGAAATGTAGTCATCATTCGATTCAGAAAGTGTTAACTTCTCTTAAAAATCTATCATTAATCTAAGAAGAAACTGGTATCCTAGTTTAAATTTGATATTATCAAAACTTTTGATTTTTTCTATCAACTTGACTAGCTTTTGCTCCTTGTTCAATACTAGATAGTTATATTTAAGCAAGTTTAACAAACAAGTAAGAAGAAAATAAAAATATATTTCATCTTCATCTTCTTATTTTAGGGTGCTAATATACTCTGAATAAAACACAAAATAGAATACATCAAATTTATCAAAAAATTTGAATTCAGAAATTTCATATTTTTTGATTAAATTAATTTTTGACTCTTGTGCTAAGTAGCTGTCTAAAAATTATAAGTAAAGCAATACTCTGTTTTTTCTATATTTGTCTATCAAAATCATGTTTCCCCAGATTTCGTAGCATTCAATCAAGTCATTTAAAAAATCCTCTTCTTCTTTTAATTCTTGTTAATCCAATTTAATTCTATCCATTTTAAACTTTTAGAAATAATCACTGTATTGGTGTTTTTCTAATTATTAAAAGTAGGGAATAAAAGGCTGCGATTCATAACTTTCTTCATAATCTATTTAAATTTCTTCTTTAATGGTTTTCTATATATCTTCAATTTTTTCTTTAACTTTGTCAATAGTTAGATTTTCCATAAAATATTATATACAATCTTTTAATTTAGAATCAGTTGGTCCGCAAGATTCATTATTTTTTTTGTAATTCTCTTAGTCAACAAAATAAGTTGTGATAAAGTAATAGAAAGAAAATAAGTTCCATTCCTTTGTGTTTTTCTAATCAGTATGTGATACTAATTATTGCTATATGAATTCTGAATGATATTTGATACAATCACGACTATCACTAGATATTAAGCTTGAAATATCAATTTGCTGAGGTTGTAAATCTTATTTTTAACTGATTTCATTTAATGTACTTAAAATAATTATTTTTTTCATTTTTTAAAGGTTTTGTTTGAATACAGGATCAAAAAAAATATTTGTATCCATTATTGTGATTTAAGCTTTTTGTTATTATTTTTTAATCTCTTCAGTGACTTTTTAAATACCGCTCGCTACTAATCCAACTACATTAATTATTTTCTAGGAATTTTATTATGGTATTTATTAAATAATATTCTTAAAAAGGTTTTTACCAAAAAAATTTAAGCCCTTCTTATTATCCATTTTTTATTTTTTATTAATTGTATTTTTTAATTAATTATTATGATTTATTGTAGAACACTTCCTAAAATTTCACATCCAAATTATAATTAAATTATTTGGGCTAGCGAGAGCTATAAAATCTAACTAAGAAATAAATAATATTTTTTCTTTTAAATAATGTTTTTCTTTAGGATTAAAATATCACTAAGTCTATGAAAATAAAAAAATTAAATTATAAAAACATAATTTTTTATTCTCAAGCTCATTAAAATAAAAAAATGAAGCTAACTAAATTAGTATCAAAGGCAGCTTAATTTCAGACATTTATAATAGATTGTTATTTGTATTTTAATGACTTGTTGAACTAATATCTATGGTTTGATTTGAAAAAAAAGCAATTATTATTATCAAATAAAAAATACATTATTTCTTTTATAATCTTTTATTGATAGATGAGAAAAAGACGCATTTTTTTTAATGAATAAGATCCAAAAAATTTATTATATTTGATGTTATTTTTTTATTTATTGAGTTTCGCAAGTTTATTTCAAAGTAACAAAAATAATTTATATTTAATCCTTTAAATACTTTACTTTATTTTAGTTACTTAAATCCTAGATAGGCAATTCATTGAGAGTTTTATTAAAAAATCTCACATCCCCTCTTATTTTTTTAGCGTGCTGCGGAGAGCTAGTATAAAAAAGTTAAGGTAATTATTAGTTCAAGGAATAGAAATATTCAACATAATTAGTTAATTAATGGATGATATATAATAATATTTATGTTTATAACAAACATATTATTTAAAGATATTTAAAATAATAATAAATTCAAGATAGCTTCTAATATTAAAGAGGTTTAATCTATGTTTAAAGTATAATAACTACTACAAACCTACTATGATTTATAAATCTGTATTTTTTAAAGGTTTTTTTAGTTAAAATATATAGTTTACTTGATATTAAAAATGCTCTAAGACTTAAGTTTGTTTGAAAGGTAATAAACCAAGAAATTCAATTAAGCTATAATAGTTTACACGTTTTCAAATTTGTAAATATAATTAATTGTATGGTAGACTTAATTGATTTCTATCTCAAGCTCAATTCAATTTATCATCTGTTTGTTTTTTTTCCATAAAATAATTAGATATCTAATAAAAGGAAAATAGGATATTAATTAGTCTTTCTTCTTTTATTATATAATATTTGAATAAATTTATGAATCCAATATTAGAGCAAATAATATTTTTAGATTAAAAATAAGATTCATCATATCATTTAAATAAAATAAACATATTAACAAATGCTTGTTAAAATGAAACAGAAAAAGAATTAAAAAAGGTTGATAAAATAAATATTCTGATATTCCTTCATAGAATCACTAAATTCTGCTGATAATTTTATCAAATGCTTATTAAAAAACTTTTTTGATAACAAATAATTGATAAATAAGTTATTATATTTCATATTTTTGAAAGAATAGGCGTATTGCAAATTTATTAAGAAAGATCTTATTTTTTAAAGAAAATAGTTAATTCTTGTTGGTAAGAAATAACTAATTGCTCTTTAACTGATAGGATTGTTTTTCTTTGAATACTTGTAAATAGAGAAAATCCAAATTATTATATTTTAGATAAAAGTTTAAACAAATTTTAATTATTTTATACTTGATTAATTAGAATGAGTAATGAAGAGCGTAATACTAAATTCACTAAATTGAGTATTTAAATTTAATATGGTTTTCATATTTTAGCACAAATCAAAATTAATATAGTGCTTTTATTAGTAACTTATAATTAATCTATTTTCAATTTATTTAAACTTAATCAAATAACTTATAATAAATTTAAAGTAGTCTTTCAAATTTATTAAGTAATTTAATTAAAATATAATTAATTGGCTTATTATCTATACATATTTCGTTTTCTGTCATGCTAAAGTGAAAACACAGGATTTTACTCAAACTCAAAAAGTTAATTTATAATTAACATGATTAAAAATATATTAGATTTCCTTTAATTTTTATTTTACTAAAATCAATAACGATTTCATATTTTTTAATTAGACATTAATTCTATTAATTTTGTTATCGGCCATACTAAGGTGAAAACACCGGATCCCATTCGAACTCCGAAGTTAAGCGCCTTAAGGCTGGGTTAGTACTAAGGTGGGGGACCGCTTGGGAAGTCCCAGTGTCGATAACCTTTTTTATTTTTTTACAAAAATAATTATAAAAAATAATGTAGATTTTCTTTAATTTCTTAATTTTTAAGATAGAATATTGAATTTAGTATTATTTTAAATAGACATTAATTTTATTAATTTTGTTATCGGCCATACTAAGGTGAAAACACCGGATCCCATTCGAACTCCGAAGTTAAGCGCCTTAAGGCTGGGTTAGTACTAAGGTGGGGGACCGCTTGGGAAGTCCCAGTGTCGATAACCTTTTTTATTTTTATAACAAAAATAATTATAAAAAATAAAGTAGATTTTCTTTAAATTCTTCATTTTTTATTTAGTTGAATTTAGTATTCTTTATTTTAAATAGACAATAATTTGTATTAATTTTGTTATCGGCCATACTAAGGTGAAAACACCGGATCCCATTCGAACTCCGAAGTTAAGCGCCTTAAGGCTGGGTTAGTACTAAGGTGGGGGACCGCTTGGGAAGTCCCAGTGTCGATAACCTTTTTTTATTTTTATGATAAAAAAATATTTATAAAATATAATAGTCGATTTTCTTTTAATTCTTAATTTTTTATTTTGTTGAATTTAGTATTATTTATTTTAAATAAACAATAATTTGTATTAATTTTGTTATCGGCCATACTAAGGTGAAAACACCGGATCCCATTCGAACTCCGAAGTTAAGCGCCTTAAGGCTGGGTTAGTACTAAGGTGGGGGACCGCTTGGGAAGTCCCAGTGTCGATAACCTTTTTTTATTTTTATGATAAAAAAATATTTATAAAATATAATAGTAGATTTTCTTTAAATTCTTAATTTTTTAAAATAGTTAAATTTATTTTTATTTATTTTAAATAGACAATAATTTGTATTAATTTTGTTATCGGCCATACTAAGGTGAAAACACCGGATCCCATTCGAACTCCGAAGTTAAGCGCCTTAAGGCTGGGTTAGTACTAAGGTGGGGGACCGCTTGGGAAGTCCCAGTGTCGATAACCTTTTTTATTTTTAAAATAAAGATAATTTAGTATTTAATACTAAAATGTGAATTTTTATTTGTTTTTTAAGTATATATTAATTTGATTTGTATATTACAAAAATTGAAAATTATACTTAAGAAAGAATATTAGCTATAATTAAAATAATTTGGATAAGTTAATGAGGTATAAAATAATTTAAAGTTGAGATAAATTTGAATTATAATTAATTAAATAGCAATTAATTGCTAATATCTATCTATCAATTAGCTTATAATTATTAAATTATTTTTTATTTTATAAAAAAATAAAAAGTTGAAAAAGTTGAAACAGAAAAAAATCTAATTTTAAATTAGTCTAACTTAGTCATAGTAAAATTTATAAATTATTTTTAAGATATATATAATAAAAGAAAATAGATAATAACATTATTGATACAAATGGATATATTGCAATAAAATTAGCAAAGTGCCAAAATATCACTACTTCTAGTCTACGTCTTGAAAATAATAGATTTTTCAAACTAATAATTGATAATATACATCAAATTTCTGTCGAAAGATTAATAATTTTAAGCTAGTTGGCTAAATTTAAATTATGTATAAATAATTATAACAGTAGGAAGAAATACTAAAAAAAAAATTGCTAGTGTTTATTAGTTATATCTGGATGTTTTTTTTGTTAATATAAATTTGGGTTCAGGAAAATAATATTAAAATTAATTTTTCAATAAACTTAAGTTATAAAAAAAATATTTATTTGATAAAATATACAAAAAAAAATAAGTTATTACCCATAATGATTACAAAGATTGTGTTATTGCAGGTAAAATTATATAAGTTTGAATAAAACAGTTTGAGATCATTCAATCATGAAATGTTAACAATTTCTCAAGAAAAAATTGCTCTAATAAAAGCCAAAATTATTAATATTTTATGACTTAAAAAATTAAAAAAATTACTTTTTAATAAAATAAAATAAATTATACAATAATTCCTCATTAATTTACCTCACCCAATTTGTACGAGCTACAATATATTGTTAAAAAAATTATTTAAAACTTTAACCAAAATTATTGCATTAATTAATAAAGTTAAAATTTGTTTATTTATGTTTCAGAAAACTTATTTCAAATATTTATATAAATAGATTAATTTTATTAAAAAATGTCTTAAAATTAAAAAAAATTAATGATGAAAAACTACATTTAATAATATCAACTCTTGATTGTGTATTCATTTTAAATTATAAAAATACATATTAAATAAATTTTATAGATTAATCTATTTATTCTAAAAACAATCATACATATATATTCAATATTTGAGATGGCTTAATAAAATTTCTAATACTAAAATGATGATAAAAAAAATAAATAAATAAATAAACAAAAGTGATCACTCTTAACTTCTACTTTTAAAAATATATTCTTAAATTTAGTATGATAATTTTTTCTCTTTATTAAAAATAGCACAACTAATAGATTGAATTGAAGTTATTTTAATGTTAAATGCGATTTTTTATAAAGCACTTAATTTTTATGATTAATATTGATATCAAAGAAGCATAAAAAAACTTATCAAACTCTCCTTTTTATTAATTGATCTGAACAAAAATGGATTTTTCTAAAATAGACATTTTCTCATCCTCTTTCTAATTCAATTTTGGAAGATAAACAAATAGAAAAGGCACTTTATTTGGAGCTGTTTTGTCAACTATTTTAATAATTACTATGGCTATATTCTCAGCCTATCTTTTTTTCTAGTTTTTTAGTGGCCAAATTAATCCTAATTATGCATAACAAAATTTTATTTCTGAGGAAATGATTGATGTTGAATTATCTGAAGATTTAGTAGGATTTAAATATGAATATGGAGTAAATCTAAGCCTTGATGATCTTTAAGAACAGAAAAATAAAACATATTTAGTTTTTGTCCCTTACTTATACTACTAAAATGGAGATTTTTTCAAAATGATATAGATAAATGTTACCAAATGTTTAAGTCCTAAACTTTAAGGGTTTAATTGCTTTGATTTTTCAACTGTGAAAAACTATACTCTAAGCTTAAGTACATCAGATAATATATCTACAAATATAAACATGCTTATTTACAAATGTTAAGATGTAGATGAATTCAAAACATTCATACCAAATAATTGCGCAGATGATTCAGATTTTAACTCTATTATTAATAATCCTTATGCTGATTTTCGTTTGAAACTCAAAACATCTCAATATAATACTACATCATAAAAAATTTAAGTAAACTACAGAAATTCATATTCATTTATTTAGGATAGCCATTTTAAATTGTATACTTATAAAACTTAAAAATAGATAACTAAGCTTAAACATGGTGCAATAATTCAAAGCGAAAGCATTTTTTCTTCTCCTATACAATATAATGTTGAAAATGTTAATTTTGATAGATAATCTTTTGTATAATCAGTTAATTAAACAGCTTATATGTTGATTACTATTGAGATGGATGAGATCGTTTAACAAATATAAATTTAGTACTCAACATTTACTTAAATTCTTGCTCAGTGCAACAGTACATTAGCTTTTTTAATGTGTTTAGGATTTTTAGGAAGGAAATTTGCTTTGAAATTAATGAGAGAAGAAATTTTTCTTCTTTTGTTGTAAAATGTTTTTCATGGGACTTATGAGAAAATATTAAAAAAAAATAAATTAATTGATGAGTCGAATTGCAAATCTTTTTAAAATATAATTTAATAAAATTAAATAAAGTCTGAATAAAAAGAAGAGGATTTATTGAAAGAGAGCAATTATTCCATTTTTATTCCTTCATTTGACACTAAATCTATAAAATCAGTTGATAATTAATATACTACCCTTTAAACACAAGGGTTGAACATAGAAAATAATAAATGGATATAAGATGAAGTTATTGAAAAAGATTCATTGATGAGTTAGAATGAAATATTAAATTCAAATAATTTTGCCAAAGGTTTAAACTCTGATGAGCAAAACAGGTTCTTCGGATATAAAGAGTAATCATATTCACCCTAAAACAGAGACAATTTTGTTGAATCATGTAGTCAAAATATTTAAAATTCAATCAATTAAAGATCTTAAATAGCTAGCTAAGAATCTTTATTTCAAAGAAGAAGTGGAAATACAAAATTAAAAAAAAACCATTGTATTTATCCTCTTTCCAAATTGATTAAATAGCCTTATAGACATAAAGCTGAACACTTGAAATATTTACAAGAAAATTATCTAAAGAAAACAAAAACTATGAAAGATCACTCTATTTTGAAAAATATCCAAAAAAACATTTTTAAAACTAGGTAGATTGTTTTATTATTTTTTAAGAATCTTTAATTAAGTAATCAATCAATAAATTGAAATCATTTTTTTTGAATAGAATTTACAGGCTAGCCTAATATTAGTAATCTCAAGGTTTAAACAAATTAGATAAGAGTATCATAGAAGAACATATTAATTAAAGCTTAGATGTATTGTAGCTCTATAAAGATTTAATACTTTTGAAGAAGGCAATTATGATTCTTCTGACTAAGGAACAATTAGCAGCACTTTAATTGATAGGTTTATCGACATATTTTTTGAAGCAACAAGTAAATAACTAAAAATAGAATTAATATCAAGACAAAAGTAAACAATATATTTTTTATTTGTTTAATATTAATTATATCTTAAAAAGAAATGAGTCATTTCGAAGAACAATTTGCTATTTTAAATTAGAGTAATTTGCAAGAAAAATACCTAAATTCTTTCTTAGAAAGAATTCTTTACAACTCAGAGATAACTGAAATAGATTAAAGAATAATAGACTCTCTACTATGAAATTTAAATTTTATTATTTTAATGCATTTCGATATAAATTAACATCTTCATATTTTTCAATCACTTTATTTTCTGAAAATTTAACATAAAGTGACAAAACTTTCAAAAGAATTCTTGCAAAAATCATCAATTCTTAAAGTTTTCTTGGCACATTCTTTCTTTCCTCTCTATTTGTTATATTTATTTTGATTATTAAATTCTTTTATAATAAATTTTGATATTTAAAAAAGGCTTTTTTACATTACAATTAGCAAAAGATTATATATGAGTAACATAAATGGTATTTTATCAAAACTTACATTTATTTCTTAAAAAAGTTTCTATCTTTAAATTAAACTATTTCAATTTAAAATTTGAGTGTTATAAATTTATTTTGTTAAGTAAGAAAATTATTATTTTATTTGAATTAAGTTATATTGAAAATTAATTTATTTGTTCCTATTTATTTAAATATAGTTATAACTTATTCAATTCATATTTTGAGAATTTTTATAAATGTATATAATATCAATATACTTATGTATGTCACTCTTATAGATTGCTATGTTTATGCCAAAAAATTAGAATACTTAATCAAATTTTAATTTTGTCAATTTAGAAAAATACAGAAATTTAAGATGTAATCAATATTCGTCAATCATCAATTTAGTCAGAAACTGATGAGAGTGAAAATAATAAAAGATATTTCAAAAAAAAGGGTAAGTAACTTGTATGCTTAATTAATTAACTAAATACAACAAAAAGAATGTGACACTGTAATATTGAATAGCTGGTACTAATATGTTCACAAAGATTAAAAATTTAAATTATTAGACTATTGAATATTTTAATAAAATGAAGTATAATAAAAATAAATAGCTGTAATACGATATCTACGTCCATAAACCACTATCAGATTACTTTTTCATGAATTAAACAAACAATTTTTGTGTATAAACAAGCAATATCCAATTTCGCTTTATATATAAATCAAAATAAATAAAAAGAATAAAATCAATAAATTAAGAGTCATGAATAAGGTAGCTTTAATTGCATCATTTTTAGCTGGGCTTTCTATTCTTTCTATCAGCTTTGTTTACCTCAATCAAAAGGATTTAAAAGCTGAGGTAATCATTACTAACCCTCCATTTAATACCACATTCCCTTAAACTTTCGAGCTTAAAGACTAATAATTTGTTTTGAATGGATAGCCTCTTTATGTAGCTGCTGGTGAAATCCATTATTCTAGAGTACCTTCCCAATATTGGCGTACAAGAATTCAAACTATAAAAGCTCTTGGTAAATTAAAACTCTAATTACTAAATCTTTTAATATTTCTTTCGCTATTTTTCATTTTCTTTTCTTCATTACTTATAAATATACATTTATAAATAGGTTTAAATACTTTAAGTGTTTACATAATGTGGAATCATCACGAAGTTGCTCCCGGTGTTTTCGATTTCTCAAGCCCTGACAGAAACTTAAGAAACTTCTTACAAATTGCTTTGGAAGAATAAATGTATGTTTTAATAAGACCTGGTCCCTATGTATGCGCTGAATGGGATTTCGGTGGCTAACCTTTCTGGCTTTTAAAAGAAAATGTTGAATTGAGATCAACTGATCCTAAGTATATTTAGGCTATTACTCCTTATATCAATAGAGTTGCTTAGGAAATCTAAGATTACCAAATTACAAGAAATGGTACTGTTCTTATGGTTTAAATTGAAAACGAATTTGGCTCTTATGGAAGTAATAACACTTATCCTCTCAAATTGAAACAAATTTGGGATGATACTAAAAAGATTTAGGTTCCTTACTACACTGCTGATGGTGGCAGTTTGATTAAAACTGGTCATGTTCCCGGTGCTGCTTTTGGATTAAACCCTGGCACAAATGAAAAAGATTATTTATATGCTCATTCCCTAGAATTCAATATGCCTGTTATGAGTTCTGAAACTTATCCTGGGTATTTTTTATTTTATTACTTTTTAACAAATATTTATGCTTACTTAATGCAAGAATTTTCAACAAAAAATTAAATCATAACTCTTAAATTTTATATAAAAAAAGATGGTTAACTCACTGGGCTGAGAACTGGGCTGGACGTGACATTTCTAGCACTGTCAGTGAATTTGAAAATTTAGTCAAGAACAAACACTCTTTCTCTATGTACATGGTATTTGGTGGCTCTAACTTTGGTTTAACTGCTGGTTCTAACAATGATAATTCTGATACTGCCTTCTAGCCTGATATTACTAGCTATGACTACGACGCTCCTATTAATGAGTAAGGTGCTCCCACAGATAAGTTCTATGCTTTGAGAGAGATGTTTAAGTCTCATTTCAACTGGACTATCCCTAATGTTCCCCAAATACAAAACTTAACTACCGTTGACTAGTTTACCCCATAAAGATTAGGTTCTCTTAGACTCCTTTACAACTCTTTACCTAAAGTTACTTTCTAATAAGCTTAAAGTTTCGAAGTTTTAAATCAAAACTAAGGTATTGTTGTTTATACTTTCTAAGTTCCCATCAGCAACTCTCCTTAAAATACTAATTACACTCTTTCTTTTGATAAGATTAGAGACTTTGCTAAAGTTTATGTCTAAGTTAATAACTCTACCACTTATAACGGCACAATTAACAGAATGAATTAATAGAATTCCTTCAGTTTTAGTTATTCAGGTAATGCCACTAACGCCACTGTAACCATTTTCGTTGAGGCTTTCGGTCACGTAAACTATGGCCACACCAGTTTCGATAACAAGGGTATCATTGGAAATATTTACTTCCAAAACAAGAATATCTCTAACATTTCCCACACTTTAATTCCTCTTCAAAATATTCCTAATATTATTCCTTCTCCTAGTGCTGTTGATTCTCAAAACAGTGAAACCTTCTTTAAAGGTACTTTCAAGATCAACGGTTAAATTGGAGACACCTATTTGAATATGTCAAATTACACTAAAGGGTATGTCTGGGTTAATGGATTCAATTTGGGTAGATACTGGAATATCGGTCCTCAATAAAAGCTATTTTGTCCTGCTACCATCCTTAAATAGAACAACGAAATTGTTATTCTTGATTTAATATAAAACACTGCAGCACCCATCAAGGGAGAATTAACACTTCATTGAATAATTATTTGAATTAAAGACTAAAAATATTTTTTTGTATATTTTTAGTACTTAAAATATAAAAATAAATAAATAAATTGTTATATATAAAAAAATATGTTATTTTTTCTAATAGATTAGTCAAAAAAAATCAATTTTCATCAAATAAATAATTTTTAAAAATATTTTTTTTGGATACTTTTTGAATATTAATTTGTGATTTTTAATTAGATCGTTTAATTTGTTTAGAAATATCTACAATCTTACTTAATAAAATGTAATGATTATATTATTCATTTAAGTAAAATTTTTACTACTTAAAAAATATTTTTATTAAAATTTATGATTCTGTTTTTATTATTATTTTATAGATTTATTAAAATGTTTTAAAATAATTTTAATTCATAATTTATTCTATTTATTAATTAATATATATTTTTATATTAAATATTTGTAAATGAAATTTTGATTTTAATTTTCTTTTAGATTTTCAATTTTTAATTAAACTTTAAAACCGAACTTATCTTACTATTATTTGATAAAAAAATAATCAAAAATTAATTAAATTTAAATATTTTTTTATCAAGAAAAAAATTTAATTTTTTTAATCATCCAATTAATTTAGAATAAACTAAAAAATTCATTTTGCATTTATTTACTTGAGTTCTAACAATCATAATTGCTTTAAGTTTTTTAATTCATGCATTCATTTACTCTTTCATTTCATTCTCTTCATCTTGAGAATCAGTGCTTCTCGAATTGATTCTATTTATTCTGTATTCATATAGACTTGACTCGTAAGATTCTATCTTTATAATATGGAATAATTCTATTGCTAAGATTAAATAATACATAGTGAAGCCGTATTTTATTTTATTTTTTGTATTTTAAATAAACATAATTTCTCAACAAAGTATTATCAGAAAATATAAATAATGTTTTTAATGATTTTTATATAAAAAATTGATTATTTATTAAGGTGACGATAATAAGAATTATTTATTTATGTTAAAAAATGTAAAATGATTTTTAAATAACTTTATATTTTTTATAATAAAATTAATAAAATATAAATTTAACTTTTTATTATAATATTTCATAGGATAGATACACTACTAAATTTATAAAATAGGAATGAAGTAAATAAATAATATATGTAAGTAAATTTAGAAGATTTTTGATCGAAGCTATCAGAAATGCTAAAAGAATTATAAAAGATATTTTATAAATTAATGAAAATTAAAACATTACGCCAATAAATTAAAAAAACAAATAACTAACTAACTAACTACTTTTCTAAAAAACAAACAAAATCAAATCATATGTGCTAATTTTATTAATCATAATATAAATCTGCAGCTATCTGAGATGGGTTTACTGCTTAGGTAGGCTTAATAAGAATGGAGGATACAGATAATTGTAAAAACATTTCTTACTTTATTTTTTACAACTATCTAAAGTTTTAGATAGAGCTGTGAGGTGAATTGACTGTAATTATAACTGGAGATATTGTTTTATATAAATTATTAAGAGCTACAGCAAGCCTTTTTTCATTACCGCCTCCCAAGAATCTTATTAACAAATTCTGAAGATAGGAGTTGACACTTAGATTTTCCACTTAATTATCCCAGAATTTTGGAGGCTCTACTATTGTTTACAAAACAAGTTTTTAAAGATGATTGTTTTTATATAAAGCTCTGCATAAATATGAGTGAGCTTCTGAATCGTAACTGTTTTCAAACGATTGTAGATTCAACTCCTCAAGAACAGTGTTTCCTATTAAAAAATATGCTAAAGTTTTGTAATCACTTCCATTTGATTAATTCTCACCATTGAAAATTTATATAAATTTTAATGCTTTTGAACTCTGAAAATATTTGAAGATAATCTATAAATCTTTAACTTAAATGGGAGCATTTATGAATACGTAAAACTAATTTATCAATAAAATTTAAGGAAGTCAAACCTGAAAGAATTGTTTGTAATTGCTAGATAAGCTATTTTAAATAGCAAGAAACAGCACTTGAAAGTTCATCATTCCAATTTGACTCTTAAATATTTATCCCTATTTAATGAACATATTAGGGTTATATATCTTTCTATAAAATGATATTTTAAAAATCTTTAGCTGATTGAGTTTCTTGCAAGTTTATAAAGAAAGATCTTATTTTTTAAAGAAGATAGTTATTATTCTTGTTGGTAAGAAATAAATAATTGCTCTTTAACTGATAGGATTGTTTTTCTTTGAATACTTGTAAATAGAGATGAATCATAATCCAAATTACTATATTTTAGATAAAACTATAAACAAATTTAAATTATTTTATCTTGATTAATTAGAATTAATAATGAAGAGCGTACAACTGAGATAGATTGTAGTATACTAAATTCACTAAATTGAGTATTCAAATCTAAGATGGTTTTCATATTTTAGCACAAATCAAATCTACAAAATATTGTGCTTTTATAAGTTACTTCTTATTAATCTATTTTCAATTTATTTAAACTTAATCAGATAACTTATAATAAATTTAAAGTAGTCTTTCTAATTTATTTAGTAATTTAATTAAAATATAATTAATTGGCTTGTTATTTATATTGTTATTTGTAATGCTAAAATGAAAACACAGGATTTTACTCAAACTCAAAAAGTTAATTTATAATAAACATGATTAAAAATATATTAGATTTCCCTTAATTTTTATTTTACAAAAATGAATAACTATTTCATATTTTTTAAGTAGACATTAATTTTATTAATTTTGTTATCGGCCATACTAAGGTGAAAACACCGGATCCCATTCGAACTCCGAAGTTAAGCGCCTTAAGGCTGGGTTAGTACTAAGGTGGGGGACCGCTTGGGAAGTCCCAGTGTCGATAACCTTTTTTTATTTTTATGATAAAAATAATAATTAAAAAAATATTAGATTTCTTTAAATTTTTTATTATGCAAAATATTGAAAGAGTATTTATTATATTAAAAAGACAATAATTTGTATTAATTTTGTTATCGGCCATACTAAGGTGAAAACACCGGATCCCATTCGAACTCCGAAGTTAAGCGCCTTAAGGCTGGGTTAGTACTAAGGTGGGGGACCGCTTGGGAAGTCCCAGTGTCGATAACCTTTTTTATTTTTATAACAAAAATAATAATAAAAAATAAAGTAGATTTTCTTTAATTTCTTAATTTTTAAGATAGAATATTGAATTTAGTATTATTTTAAATAGACATTAATTTTATTAATTTTGTTATCGGCCATACTAAGGTGAAAACACCGGATCCCATTCGAACTCCGAAGTTAAGCGCCTTAAGGCTGGGTTAGTACTAAGGTGGGGGACCGCTTGGGAAGTCCCAGTGTCGATAACCTTTTTTATTTTTAAAATAAATATATGGCATTTAATTATTAAAATATGAATTTTTATTTGTTTGTAAAGTACATAATAATTTGATTTACATATAATAAAAATTGAAAGCTATATTTAAGAAAAAATATTATTAATAATTAAAAAAATTTGGATAAGTTAATCAGTATAAAATAATTTAAAGTTGAGATAAATTTGAATTATGATTAATTAAATAGCAAATAATTGCTAATATCTATCAATTAACTTATAAATATTTAATTTTTTTTTACTTTATAAAAAAATTATAGATTAAAACAGATAAAATCTAATTTTAAATTATTCTAACTTAGTCATAATGAAATTTATATATGATTTTTAAGATATATATAATAAATAGAAAATAGATAATATCATTATAGATACAAATGATCAAAAAATATTGAAAAAAGATTAAAAAATGTCAAAATGTCAAAACTATTTTTATTATAAAAGCAATCATATAAAATTTTTGAGATAGTTTAATAAAATTTTTGATACTAGAATGCTCTATTTGCTATAAAAAAATAAAAGAGTAATCTCTTAACTTCTACTTTAAAAAATATTTTAAAAAAAATTTATTATGATAATTTTTCTCTTAATTAAAAATAGCACTTATTAGATTAAACTGACTTTATTTTATTATTAAATACAACTTTTAAGAAAGCATTTAATTTTTATGATTAATATTGATATCAAAGAAAAAAATAAAAAACAAAAACTCTTCTATTTATTACTTGATTTGAACAAAAATGGATTTTTCTAAAATATATATTTTCTCATCCTTAATGATCTTCAACCATAGTAAAATAAAACATATTTAGTTTTATTCTCATACTTATACTACTAAAATGGAGATTTTTTCAAAATGATATAGATAAATGTTACCAAATGTTTAAGTCCTAAACTTTAAGGGTTTAATTGCTTTAATTTTTCAACTTTGAAAAACTATACTCTAAGCTTAAGTAAATCAGATAATATATCTACAAATATAAATTTACTTATTTACAAATGCTAAGATGTAGGCGAATTCAAAACATTCATGCCAAATAATTGTGCAGATGATTAAGATTTTAACTCTATTATTAATAATCCTTATGCTGATTTTCACATGAAACTCAAAACAAATTAGTATAATACCACATCTTAAGGAATTTAAGTAAACTACAGAAATTCATATGCATTTATTTAGGATAGCCAATTTAAATTGTATACTTAGAAAATTTAAAAGCAGGTAACTAAGCTCAAGTATGGTGCAATAATTCAAAGTGAAAGCATTTTTTCTTCTCCTATACAATATGATGTTGAAAATTTTAATTTTGATAGATAATCTATTATATAATCAGTTAATTAAACTGCTTATATGTTGATTATTATTGAGATGGATATAATTTCATACATACAAATTTAGTTTTCAACATTTACTTAAATTCTTGCTCAGTGCAACAGTACATTAGCTTTTTTAATGTATTTAGGATTTTTAGGGAGGAAATTTGCTTTGAAATTGATGAGAGAAGAAATTTTTCTTCTTTTGTTGTAAAATGTTTTTCATGGGACTGATGAGAGAATTTAAAAAAAAAATAAATTAATTGATGAGTTAAATTGTAAATCTTTTTAAAATTTTATTTAATAAAACTAAATAAAGTCAGAATAAAAAGAAGAGGACTTATTGAAAGAGAGCAATTACTCCATTTTTATTCCTTCATTTGACACTAAATCTATAAAATCAGTTGATAATTAACATACTATAATCAAATTCTCCATAAAAAAGAGACAATTTTGTTGAATCATGTAGTCAAAATATTTAAAATTCAATCAATTAAAGATCTTAAATAGCTAGCTAAGAATCTTTATTTCAAAGAAGAAGTGGAAATACAAAATTTAAAAAAGAAAACATTGTATTTGTCTTCTTTCCAAATTGATTAAATAAGGATTTAATACTTTTGAAGAAGGCAATAATGATTCTTCTGACTAAGGAACAATTAGCATCACTTTAATTGATAGGTTTATTGATAGATTTTTTGAAGCAATAAGTAAATAGCTAAAATTATATCAAGACAAAAGTAAATAATATATTTATTTATATTCATTATTTGTTTAATATTAATTATATCTTAAAAAGAAATGAGTCATTTAGAAGAGTAATTTGCTATTTTAAGTTAGAGTAATTTATAAGAATAATACGTAAATTCTTTCTTAGAAAGAATGCTTTACAACAAAGAGATAACTGAGATAGATTAAAGAATAATAGACTCTCTACTATAAAATTTAAATTACTGTAAACTCTTATTAATTAACACCCACCCCTTTTAAAATTTTGTCTGATATTTTGGGTGTTAATAAAAAAAATTTTCCAAAAAAAAAATTGGGTGTTAACTAATAAGAGCCTTAAGTATATTATTTTAATATATTTTAATATAAATTATAAAATTAACATCTTCATATTATTCATTCACTTTATAATCTGAAATTTAACATAAAGTGACAAAGCTTTCAAACATCAATGCATAAAGTTTTTTTTTTGGCACATTCCTTCTTTCTTCTCTATTTGTTATATTTATTTTGATTATTAAATTCTTTTATAATAAATTTAGATATTTAAAAGAAGGCTTTTTTACTTTACAATTAATTAAAATTAGCAAAAGATTATGTATGAGTAACATTAATTACATTAATGGTATTTTATCAAAACTTACATTTATTTCTTAAAAAAGTTTTTATCCATAATTTAAATTATTTCATTATACAATCTGTTATAAAGTTATTTTGTTAAGTAAGTAAGTTAGTAAGTAAGTAAATTATTATTTTAATTGAATTAAGTTTTATTGAAAATTAATTTATTTGTTCCTATTTATTTAAAAATGATTATAACTTTTTCAATATATGATTTTATTTGAGAATTTTTATGAATGTGTATAAAATCAATATACTTATGTATGTCACTCTCATAGATTGCTTACAATTAGAATACTTAATCAAATTTTAAATAAATTAAATTATTTCATTAAAAATCTGAGTGTTATCAACTTATTTTATTTAGTAAGTAAGTAAGTAAGTAAGTAAGTAAGTAAGTAAGTAAGTTAGTAAGTAAGGAAATTATTATTTTAATTGAATTAAGTTTTATTGAAAATTAATTTATTTGTTCCTATTTATTTAAAAATGGTTATAACTTATTCAATGTATAATTTTATTAGAGAATTTTTATGAATGTGTATAATATCAATATACTTATGTAAGTCACTCTTATAGATTGCTTAAAATTAGAACACTTAATCAAATTTTAATTTTGTCAATTTAGAAAAATACAGAAATTAAAGATTTAATCAATATTTGTCAATCATCAATTTAGTCAGAAACTGATGAGAGTGAAAATAATAAAAGATATTTCAAAAAAAAGGTAAACTTGTATGCTTAATTAATTAAAACAACAAAAAGAATGTAACACTGTAATAATTAATAAATAGCTGGTATTAATGTGTTCACAAGGATTAAAAATTTAAATTATTAGAATATTGAATATTTTAATAAAATGAAGTATTATTATAATAAATAGCTGTATTATGATATCTACGTCCATACACTACTATCAGATTACTTTTTCATGAATTAAACAAACAATTTTTTTGTATAAATAAGTAATATCCAATCTCATTTAATAAATAAATCAAAATAAATAAAAAAAAAAAAAAATCAATAAAATAAGAGTCATGAATAAGGTAGCTTTAATTGCATCATTTTTAGCTGGGCTTTCTATTCTTTCTATCAGCTTTGTTTACCTCAATCAAAAGGATTTAAAAGCTGAGGTAATCATTACTAACCCTCCATTTAATACCACATTCCCTCAAACTTTCGAGCTTAAAGACTAATAATTCCTTTTGAATGGATAGCCTCTTTATGTAGCTGCTGGTGAAATCCATTATTCTAGAGTACCTTCCCAATATTGGCGTACAAGAGTTCAAACTATAAAAGCTCTTGGTAAATTATAACTTAAATTATTAAATCTTTGAAGATTTCTTTCTCTATTTTTCAATTTTTTTTCTTCTTTATTTATTAATATACATTTATGATTAGGCTTAAATACTTTAAGTGTTTACATAATGTGGAATCATCACGAAGTAGCTCCTGGTGTTTTCGATTTCTCAAGTCCTGACAGAAACTTAAGAAACTTCTTACAAATTGCTTTGGAAGAATAAATGTATGTTTTAATAAGACCTGGTCCCTATGTATGCGCTGAATGGGATTTCGGTGGCTAACCTTTCTGGCTTTTAAAAGAAAATGTTGAATTGAGATCAACTGATCCTAAGTATATTTAGGCTATTACTCCTTATATCAATAGAGTTGCTTAGGAAATCTAAGATTACCAAATTACAAGAAATGGTACTGTTCTTATGGTTTAAATTGAAAACGAATTTGGCTATTATGGTAGTGATAACACTTATCCTCTCAAATTGAAACAAATTTGGGATGATACTAAAATGATTTAGGTTCCTTACTACACTGCTGATGGTGGCAGTTAGATTAATACTGGTCATGTTCCCGGTGCTGCTTTTGGATTAAACCCTGGTACGCATGAAAATGATTATTAATACGCTCATAGTATTGAATTCAATATGCCTGTTATGAGTTCTGAAACTTATCCTGGGTATTTTTTATTTTATTACCTTTTAACAACTATTTATGCTTGCTTAATGCAAGAATTTTTATTTATTTCAACAAAAAATTAATGCTTAACTGTTTAAATTAACCTCAATTTTATATAAAAAAAGATGGTTAACTCACTGGGCTGACAACTGGGCTGGACGTGACATTTCTAGCACTGTCAGTGAATTTGAAAATTTAGTCTGGAACTAACACTCTTTCTCTATGTACATGGTATTTGGTGGCTCTAACTTTGGTTTAACTGCTGGTGCTAACAATGATAATTCTGATACTGCCTTCTAGCCTGATATTACTAGCTACGACTACGATGCTCCTATTAATGAGTAAGGTGCTCCCACAGATAAGTTCTATGCTTTGAGAGAGATGTTTAAGTCTCATTTCAACTGGACTATCCCTAATGTTCCCCAAATACAAAACTTAACTACCGTTGACTAGTTTACCCCATAAAGATTCGGTTCTCTTAGACTCCTTTACAACTCTTTGCCTAAAGTTACTTTCTAATAAGCTTAAAGTTTCGAAGTTTTAAATCAAAACTAAGGTATTATTGTTTATACTTTCTAAGTTCCCATCAGTAACTCTTCTTAAAATACTGATTATACTCTTTCTTTTGATAAGATTAGAGACTTTGCTAAAGTTTATGTCTAAGTTAATAGCTCTACCACTTATAACGGCACAATTAACAGAATGAATTAATAGAATTCCTTCAGTTTTAGTTATTCAGGTAATGCCACTAACGCCACAGTAACCATTTTCGTAGAGGCTTTAGGTCACGTAAACTTTGGCCATACTAGTTTCGACAACAAGGGTATCATTGGAAATATTTACTTCCAAAACAAGAATATCTCTAACATTTCCCACACTTTAATTCCTCTTCAAAATATTCCTGATATTATTCCTTCTCCTAGTGCTGTTGATTCTCAAAACAGTGAAACCTTCTTTAAAGGTACTTTTAAGATCATCGGTTAAATTGGAGACACCTATTTGAATATGTCAAATTACACTAAAGGGTATGTCTGGGTTAATGGATTCAATTTGGGTAGATACTGGAATATCGGTCCTCAATAAAAGCTATTTTGTCCTGCTACCATCCTTAAATAGAACAACGAAATTGTTATTCTTGATTTATTATAAAACACTGCAGCACCCCTCTAAGGAGAATTAACACTTCATTGAATAATTATTTGAATTAAAAACTAAAAATATACTAAAAAATATTTTTAGTACTTAAAGTATAAAAATAAATAAATAAATTGTTATATATATAAAACAAATATGTTAGTTTTTTTAATAAATTAGTCAAAAAAAAATGAATTTTTTAAAAAATAAATAATATTTAAAAATATTTTTTCTGAATACTTTTTGAATATTAATTTGTGATTTTTAATTAGATTGTTTATTTTGTTTAAAAATATCTACAATCTTACTTAATATAATAATAAATTAATTATATATAGGTAGTGAATATTTTAAAATAAATGAGGTAGTATTTGAATTTTATTAATTTTTGTGTTTATTTAATTAAAATTAAATGAATCTAAATACAATTTTTACTATTTAAAAATATTTTTATTAAAATTTATGGTAATGTTTTATTATTATTTTATTCATTTATAAATATGTTTGAATATAATTTTAATTCATAATTTTATTTATTAATTAATTAATAATTATTTTTATATTAAATATTTGCAAATGAAATTTAGATTTTAATTTTGTTTTAGATTATCATCTTTTAATTTAAATTTAAAAGCGAACTTATCTTTCGATTATTTAATAAAAAATTAATCAAAATTAAATATTTTTGTATCAAGAAAAAAAGTTAATTTTTTTAATCATCCAATTAATTTAGAATAAACAAAAAAATTCATTTTGTATTAATTTACTTGAGTTCTAATAATTATAATTGCTTTAAATTTTTTAATTCATGCATTCATTTACTCTTTCATTTCATTCTCTTTATCATGAGAATCAGTGCTTCTCAAATTTATTCTATTTATTTTGTTTTCATATAGAATTAACTTGTAAGATTTTGGTTTTTCTTCATAAATTTAATTATTTTAAATTGAAATTATTATTAAAATTTTAAGGAATAATTCTATTGCTGAGATTAAATAATACAAAGTGAAGGTGAATTTTCTCTTTTGTATTTTAAAAGAAAATAATTTCTCAATAAAGTATTAAAAGAAAAAATAAATCATGTTTTTAATATAAACAAAATGATTATTTATTAAAGTGATAATAATAAATAAGAATCATTTATTTATGTTAAAGAATATATTTAGATTTTATATAAAAAAATTAATAAAAAATAAATTTAACTTTTTATTAAAATATTGCATAGGATAGATAAACTACAAATTTTATAAAATAGGAATGAAGTAAATAAATAATATATGTAAGTAAATTTAGAAGATTTTTGATCGAAGCTATCAGAAATGCTAATATAAGAATTATAAAAGATATTTTGTAAATTAATGAAAATTAAACCATTACGACAACAAATTAAAAAAACAAATAACTAACTAGCTAACTACTTTTCTAAAAAACAAGCAAAATCAAATCATATTGTTAATTTTATCAATCATAATATAAATCTGCAGCTATTTGAGAAGGGTTTACTGCTAAGGCAGGCTTGATAAGAATGGAGAATACAGTTAATTGTAAAAACATTTCTTACTTTATTTCTTACAACTATCTAAAGTTTTATATAGAGCTGTGAGGTGAATTGACTGTAATTATAACTGGAGTTATTGTTTTATATAAATTATTAAGAGCTACAGCAAGCTTTTTGTCATTACCGCCTCCCAAGAATCTTATAAATAAATTCTGAAGAGAGGAGTTGACACTTAGATTTTCTACTAAATTATCCCAGAATTTTGGAGGCTCTACTATTGTTTACAAAACTAGTTTTTAAAGATGATTATTTTTAGCTAAAGCTCTGCATAAATATGAGTGAGCTTCTGAATCGTAGCTGTTTTCAAACGATTGTAGATTCAACTCCTCAAGAACAGTGTTTCCAATTAGAAAATCTGCTAATGTTTTGTAATCACTTCCATTTGATTAATTCTCACCATTAAAAATTTATACAAATTTTAATGCTTTTGAACTCTGAAGATATTTGAAAATAATCTATAGATATCCTTAACTTAAATGGGAGCATTTATGAATACGTAAAACAAATTTATCAATTAATTTTAAGGAGGTCAAACCTGAAAGAATTGTTTGTAATTGCTAGTTTTATATATTGCTATTTGACAAATTTAAGCTGAAATCTTAGAGATTTAAAAGCTATTTTAAATAGCAAGAAACAGCAGTTGAAAGTTCATCATTCCAATTTGACTCTTAAATATTTATCACTATTTGATGAACCTATTAGGGTTATATATCTTTCTATTAAATGACATTTTAAAAATCTTTAGCTGATTGAGTTCTCGTAGCTTACAAAGTAATAGAGTGTTCATCATCTTCTTACTAAGGATAGCAGTTGATAAATCCTACTCTTTATTAATGAGCGCCAAACATTTGAAACTATTGAAATTATTTATTTATTTCTTAATTATTTTGTATTGCTTTATTTTATTTTAACTAAAATATTAATTACAAATAATTTATTTAATGTATTTATTAATATTCTTAACTAAAATTAGATATTTTTTATGGCTCATCAAATTCCTTATTTTTTCTGCCATAAACTTGAAGCCAAATTAAGAAATAGATAGTCAGATTCCTTAAATCTTAAAAAATACTGCAATATTATTTTTCTGATGCTTAAACTAAAAATTGACAAATAAAATTTTGTTTGTGACAAATTTAAATTATCTTTTGACAGATTTTATTCGTTGATTTTTATATTAAAAATGAAATTTGAAATCATTATAAACATAAAACATTTTTTAAAATTAAAAAGCTATTATTTTTTACATTATTTTAAAGAGATTTATTTAACTTTACTAATTCTAATATAATGAGCAAGACTATTTGTTCTCTATCTAAATAGATAGATATAAATAAATATAATATTTAAATAAGTATTTATTTTCAATTAAGAAATATTTTTGTCTTAAACATGCTATAAAAAAATGAAAATTATTGTTAAATATTTAATAAAAGATTAATTATTATTTAATAATATGAGCCAACAGTAGATTTGTTAAATAGCAATAAATTACAAAAGTTTTCTTTAACGAGCATGGCTACTTACTATCTAGCTAAATAAATAAATTAATAAACAAACAAACAGACAAATAAATAAATAAATAAATAAATAAATAAATAAATAAATAGCTTTTATTAAAATATTTATATAAGTAATTATTTAAAATTAAGAAATATTTTTGTCATTAAAATGCTATAAAAAAATCATGATTATTATTATATATTTAATAAAAGATTAATTATCATTTATGATATGAGCCAACAGTAAATTTGTTAAATAACAATAAATTATTAAAATTTTCTTTAATGAACAAGATTACTTACTATGTAGCTAAATAGATAAATAAATAAATAAATAGTTTTTATTAAAATATCGAAATAAGTAATTATTTTTAAATTAAGAAATATTTTATCTTCAAAATGCTATTAAAAATGATAATTATTATTATATAATCAATAACAGATGAATAATTAATTAATTAATTTATTATTCTGAGAACATGAGATTTGTTAAATAAGAATAAACTATTGAAATGAAATTTTTATTATTTGTTTTCTATTATATAAAGTTATGTAGTAATAAATTTTTATATTTTATATCCTATTTGATGACTTGCTTACTTATTTTCAATTATTTGGCTTTCTTTCTATTTTGTACATCGTATTTTACTTAGAATAACAATTAGGATTGACAAGAATCAATCATAATAGAGATCAGATTAAATTAATTAAGGATTGTTAGATAGAGAATTCTTAATTAGATTGTTAAAAATTATCTATTTGAGTTGAAATATTTTTTTCGCTGTTTATAATGATTAAAAAATTTGTAAATAAGGATTCCTTATTTTTGACTAAATAATAATGCATGAAATTGTTTGATAAATGCCATATAAACCTTTTGTTAGCTAGGAATTATTTTATTTATCAACAAAGTCAACTTAAAGTAATTCGAGAGATGTGTTACTTTAAAGACTCTCTATTAGTTATTCCCAAAACGATGGAAATGATTTTATATTATTCAATACTAATACTTTTAAGCTATTATTCTTTGAAATACCCTTACAAAGATATGTATGAGCTTCTTAGTCGTAGCTATCTTAGAATTAATTTAATGAGAGCTCTATTAAATTGAATTGTTTGTATTATAAACACTCAGCAAGATAGCTAAAATATTTCCCTTATGATATATTTTATGAATTATTTATCGAGATATTTTTAAGATTTTATATTTGAGAGATAATTTTAAATATTATATCAATATATCCTTCATTTAGATTAAAACACCTATCGAGTAATAATGAAAAAGAGCATAGATTTTATAAATCACATAGAGATAGAATAATTTTAGACAGCTAAAAATTAGTAATGTTGCTTTGAGAAGCATCTATTTTGAGATTTTTTAACTACTTCAATGATTTTAGATAGGTTGATAAATGACTAGATAAATCATCAGTCCAATCAGCTTCAGGTATATTTAATACAATATCTTCTATTTTATTTGGTTTTATAGCAATTGTTTAAATTGCACTGTTTAATTCTTTAAATTATTTTATTTTAATAGCTTTTAAAATAACTTTTTCATTTCCTAAATATTCTAAAAAAAAGGAATTTTACATTTTCAAGTTAGAAAAAGGAAAATACATTTTATTTAATTCTTCTTTTCTTAAAATTTTTTAAATTTATTATAATTAAAAATTAATCCATCAAACAACCAACAATTATTTATAATAAAGTCTATTCTTTTATAGTATAGATACTAATTTAGATTAACCCAAAAAATTAAGGAAGAAATTTGAAATTTAAATTAATTTATTTATGCTTTGCTATATATTTTGCTGTAATCTATTAGCACTAAAAAAATTCTTCCGAATTTATAAGATCAAATTGTTTAATTACTTTTTTTATCATTTAAAAGTCAGATTTTTTAATTTTATTTGTTTTGAAAAACCATTTCAAAGTAAATCAAATTTATTTTCACATTTACACTTGAAAATAATAAAACAAATATAAAAATAATTATCTATTTTTTTCTTAAAGTTAAAAATAAAAAGTAAATAAAAATTGAAATTCATTAAAAAAGCATTAAGTTATTTAAAATAAAATTTTTGAAATTAAATTTAAAATTTCTAAAAAAGCTATTAAATATGTTCTAAAAAATTTAAAATATAATAATAAGAATTTAAAAGAATCTTTGATGAAAATATCGATTTTTTTAATTTAAATTAAAATCTAATAAATATAATTCAGTGACAGACATCTGACAATTTAGGTATTCGTTTAATTCAAATTTTTTTTGATATTCACACACACAATCAAGATAAAAAGTGATTAATTAATTAAGTAGCTTTCATAATCTTACAAAACTTTCTCTAAAAATATCTGAAAATTAGAAAAATTTAAAATATAAAAAACAAACTGTTTAATTAACATTTACTATAAGTTTTACTAAAAATATTTTTTAATAATTTATTTTTTAAATTTTTAGCTGTTTAACCTTAAATTAATAAAATGCTTAAATTCTTTAATACTTTTTATATTTAATTACACAAAAATACCGTATTTCCTTGATAAGGAAGCCATCGGTAACCGAGGGTGATCTAAATTTGAGGATTTTTAAATCCAATACCTTGCTCGGTTTAGCCACAAAGGCAAACTGAGTACCGAAGGAAAAGGGAATATGGTAAATACCTTTATTTTAGAATTTAAATTTCAGAAATATTCATTTTTTCTATTGGTTTTAATTTTTCTTATGACAAAAAGCGACATAAAATAAAGCCATAGCAATTTTTAGTAATTTTTAGTGGAATTTAATTTAATTTATGTGAGTTTATGTGCTTAATTATTCCTAAATTTAAGTTTTTATATTAAAATATTTTATTTTTAATGCTTTTTTTTGTTTCAAAACCTTTTTATATTTCTTAAAAATCATATTTTATTAAAAATGATTTATTATTAATTTAAATATAAATTTCCTTCCTGCTCTCTAAATAATTTTTTCAATTCAAAATATTTAAAAATCAATTTAAATATTATTAAAATTAACAAAGTAGATGATATTTATTTTAAATTTTTTTGAAACAAGCAAACTACTTTATTTATAATTTCATAATCATACTAAATACGATTTTATATTATATTTTTTAAGTTAATTATTGAGAATATTATTAATTGTATTTAGAAATAATTTTAGAATTAAAATTATCAAGTTTTTATTTTATTTTTTTTAATATTTGACCTATAATATGTATATATTAATTTTATTATTTAGTGAATTATTTATTTATTTCAGAATCCTTCATCGTCTTCGAATTTATTTTCAAGTATTAATTTAGTAATCAAAGACTTTGATTTTTTTGCTTTAGGCACATAGGCTTAGGTGTAATCTACTTCTGGATTTCCAAAGTTTTTAAGAATGTAGATTTCTGTATAAGAACTGGTTGGCAATGAGTAAGTGGGATATTAATAAATCAAGTACTTGTTTTCATCGCTTGTGCCATTAAATGAATGGAAATTTTATCTAGCTTACTAAATAAAGAAATTAGCAAAATATTATGAGACTAAAGTAGATTTAAAATCACGAGCAGCATCAATCTATTAAAGTTAAAAAATAAATCAGTTACTTAATAAATTTAATTAGCTAATTAATTACCTTCCACTCAAATGCATTTTTTTCTGGATGGAATTGAGTTCCGAAAATAGGGTAGTTAATAGATTCAAAGGTTGCTATAAACAATCTTTGGGAATCAGTATAACCAATAGAAGTATATTTGTAGTTTTAAGAAAGAATTGGAATTTCTTAATAAGACTAAGGAATAACTCCTTTATCATGGTGATAATATGCTGTTGAAATATAAAAATTAGAAAATCAGATTAAAAATTTTGCTAATTATTTACCATAATCAAAGTTTTCCATGTGGCGTTTTAAAAAAGTTGGCATTTTTTCAAATAATTTAGAAGTCTTATCTATATTATTTGTGGTATGTGAAGTAGTATCATTGTATCCACTTTTAAGGACAGTTTTATTAAAACCGCTTTCTATGTAATGGATCAATTCAAAGCCTTAGCATGTTCCCCAAATTGGAAAGAAATCTCCTTAATTTGTAGCATTTTTTGCCTTTTAAATTAAGTAATTTGCATTTCTTGAGAAAATCTTGTCTACAGAATCATCAAATGTGAATTCAACACTTCAAATTATTAAGAATTATGAGTTATGACAAAAACTCATTTTAATAAAAATAATAATTTTAATTCATATTATTAAGTTATTTTACCTACCACCAGGGAATAAGATGCCATTGATTTTAGAAAATAGTGTATCAAGGTAATCTAAAGTAGCGTCATATGGAATTGGAACGGCTTAAGCACCTGCGCTTTCTACAAATTTTACATAGCTTGCTGCAATGTAAGAGTAATTAAGACCTGGGAACTTAGAATAAGTAGAAGGAGCAGTGTAAATACCTACGATGGGTCTTTAGTTAAATTTAGTACTATTATTAAAGCAATTAACTCCTAAGACTAAAAAGCAAAACAACGAAACACCAATAAATCTAGACATTATGAAATTACTTGTTTGTTATCTAAATTAATATAATATTTAATTTGTTTTAATTTATGTAATCAAGGTGAAATTATCTTTTAGTGTCTAAACAAGTTGTATTAAAAACTATATTTACATTCACATTCACGCTACTTTCTTTTTTAATCCTTTAAATGTCTTGATAAATTAGAATTGTATAAATAAGTAAACAATTATTTAAAGGAATGAGTAGTGATTACAAAATTTCACATATTTCATTTTATACCTGATTTTCAATTTTTGTGGCTAATAATAATATTTATATGTTTAATTTATAACATTTATAAGAGGTAGAATATTAGAAAAAGAAATTATATTTTTTAGTATTTTGTAATACTATCATATGTTATTTTTTAGCAAATACATTATTTAATACCTAAAATATAAATGTTATCAATTAAAAAAAAACTGCTAAAATTCTAATTAAAATGGCACTCTTAGTTGATTTACTGATTAAAAGCATATTTGAAATATATTTACTGCATATACTACTTTCAATAAAAAATATTTTTTTAAATAAATTAATTTCCTTATTTATTTAATTAAGAATGCATTTATGATTTCTTATTGAGTATCTATGATGCCTGTCTGTCTCTATCTTTATCTTCTTCATATTAAATATAATGATATTAGATTGTAATAATTTTTTTGCAAATTATTGAATCATTAATTCAATTTTTTATTTATTTATTTAAAAAATAATTTTAAAACTAACAAACTTTTTTTGTTGTTGTTGATAAATTGGTTTAATTTATCAAGTCAAATAATTTGATTTTAATTAAATTTTGTTTAATTTACTAAAAAAGCATTTCATAAATTTTAAAGAAAATCCTGAAACAATTTATTTTTATTCTTCTTGTTTATACATTTTACCTTTTAAAAGAATATTTTACAAAAAGTTTATGAAAAACAATAATTTTGTAAAGTGATCTTCATTGATTAGGATATTTCTTATCTTTTTATATTCAAATTGATAATGAAGAATCTAATTTCTTTATTGGTTAGCTAGCTTTCGATCTTTTTAAAAAGTAAAAACTGAACTTTTTCAATAAACTAACTCTAAATATGCTTACCTCTTCTAACAAAATATTTTAACAATCGAATAAATTATATTAATATTAAATTACTCTATTGAATAGATAAATGTTTATATTATTCATTTTAAAAGAAAACTCAATTCATTTTAAGTATAATTAAAATTAAATTAGAGTCTTGAAGTAAATTTTATTTAGATTAATAAAAATTGGAACCTTCTAAAACTAATACAATTACATAAGATGCTGAATTGGAATAGTTAATTAGTGTTCTCATATACATAAATTTTTAAATACCCTAACCATTCATTCTTTATATTTAAAATAAATTAAATTTAGCTATAACTTAAATCTAGTTTAAATTTATTTATTTATTTAATAAGCAAAATGTATACTGACACAAAAAATTCTAAAAATAAAACACAGGAGTTAATAATTGAAATATTTAAAATTTTTACTCTACTTTCTTTTAGAAATAAATATCTTAAAAGTAATCCATTTTTTTTTGATTATTTTCGAAATTAAAAGTCAGTGCTTTTGTAGTAGATAAAAATTAAAAGATATTGCATTCACATAGCATAAAATCTATATTTATTTCAAGTATAATTTCTTATATTAATGCATGCAGCAAATCAAAAATCCGTTTTTGAGATTAATCAAAAAAATATTGATTTTTCACAAGAAAAATATTGAAATTACTTACAAGGAAGGAAATATGAAAATGCATGCGTTCATATATACATACACAGATACTAATAAATTCATCTATCTTATTTAACGCAGAATGGAGTTAAAGCCAAATAGAAAATAAAAGGAAAGTAATTAAATAAATAAATGAATGAAAAGTAGTTTTTCAACCAAATACTAAAACCAAAAACAAACAAGCAAAAGAGTTAAAACCACTTGAATATATTTTTGCTTTAATATATTAACTCATTGTTTCTTTCTTTCTGTCATTTTTGATAAAAAAAATCAAAAAACATGCATGCAAAATGTATTTGGTAGTTTTTAATTAATTAAACATTTGATTTTAAGATATTAAAGAAAACAAGGTGATTGAAAATTAATAATCGCTGAATTGCAAGAAATAATTAACAGGATAAAATATCTGTTTTAATTTAAAAAGTATAAATAATGAGAAGAAGCTTGCTTACAGTAGCTCTCTTTGCAGTCTGTTTGCTTTCCTTCGCTATGGCTGTCCATATTCGCAAGGATAAGCAACAAACCTTAGAATCAAAGGCTAAGTTATACTCTGCTGAGGGAGATGAATTACATACAATCTCACTTAAAAAGATTCCATAAAGTCCTGGAGAAAGAAGAAAGGCCATCGAGCTTCTCTCTACTGCCTAATACTATAGCTATAATAAGGATGACTACTCAGCTGAAAAAGATTTCATCTATACCCAATAGAAGGAAACATCTTTTACTAGCACTAGCAGCAATTCTAAAACCTCTACTCATACAGTAAAGCTTTATAATTTCAAGAATGTTTAATACACTGGTGATTTAGCTATTGGCTCATCAGATAACGTTTTCTCTGTCATCTATGACACAGGTTCAGCTAATATTTGGATGAATTCCATTCACTGCAATGACCCAGGTTGTGTAAGTCACAAGTAATACGATTTCCATCAATCAAAGAACTATAAAAGTGTTGGACTTTCCCTTGATGTTCAATTTGGTACAGGTGAATTAATTGGTGAAATGGCTTAAGACACTGTTTATTTTGGTGATATCGAAATTAAAGATTAGACTTTTGTCGAAATTCACGAGCAAAGAGGTGATGTTTTCGCTCAGGTATACTATAAATTTGATTAGCTTATTCAGCTATTTACGTTTTTAAATAAAAATATAACATCTTGCAAGATGTAATTTTTACATTCCAAAGCCTTCAGAAATATTTCAAGCCTACAAAAAACGAAAATTTAAAGCCTATGGAAACAGTTTACATTGAAATATTTATATATTTATTTATACCTACCAAATATTAGCCAACAAATATTCAAAGCAAATAACAAGATTTTACAATATTACAGATGAAAAGTTGTTGTCCTAATCAAAATATCATTTTAGTTGTGGTTAATAATTCTTAGTGTTTATTTCAAAAACGTCCAAAAAAATTATTGAATCAGTCAACCAGTCAGTCAGTTTTTGATTATTTCTCAAAAATGAATTTATAAATTTTAAATTAAAAATCATCAATAAAAGTAAAAAAATGTAGAATTTTGTTCTAGTTTCAATTAAAAAATATAAAATAGAATTATTTGTTTCTTTTGATTTTGAATTAAGAAACAAAATAATGATTTAGAGTTTCTTAATATTTAATAAAGAATTTCAATCAATAAGGCGAGTTTTATTTAAAATGTCGATAGAACTATTTTTAGATTCTTTAAATTCATATTTAATTTATTATAAAAATATTAATTTAGTCCAAGTTTGACGGTATTGTCGGTTTGGCTTTCCCTTCTATGGCTGCCTATAACAAGAATCCCTTATTTGATAGCTTAATTGAACAAAAGAAAATTTAAAAAAATATCTTCTCCTTCTATATGAGTCCACATGACGGTAGAACTGATTCTGAAATTTCTATTGGTGGTGCCAATCCTTTAAGATATAGTGGTGAAATTAAATATCATAAAGTTAAGAAAGATTACTACTGGCTTATTGAAGCTTAAAGCATCTTAGTTGGTGGAAAAGATGTTGGTCTTTGCAAAGGTGGTTGTTACGTTATTGCAGACACTGGTACTTCTCTTATTACTGGTCCTTCTGAAGACATCTTTACTTTATTAGGTAAATATTGCAATTATCTTTCATGCTTTTACAAATATTGTTTCAAAATATTTATTAAATTTTACATTTAAATGAATTTAGATCACTCAAGTGTCAACACTAATTGCAGTAACGTTTCAGAATTACCTGAATTAACTTTCGTCATCGATGGTGCCCACTATACATTAACAGGAGAAGAATATGTTTTATAAGAAAACTCTGATGGTTCTCAATAGACTGTTGAAACTGCTTAATCTAATGTTGAAATGAGCAGCTCCACTGCATAATGTATTGTTGCTTTCATGCCTCTTGATATTCCCAATGATGAAGAAAATTTCCCTTATGAAAAAGCTTGGATTTTGGTAATAAATTTTTTTCAAAGAAATAATTTGATATTAAAATATTGATTTTAAAATAAAATAGGGAGATACTTTCTTACAAAAGTTTTATTCAATTTATGATAGAGACAATGACAGAGTTGGTTTTGCTTTGGCAAGACATTGAATTTAAATAAGATAGTTATTACAGTCTTGAATGGGACTTCCCTTTAACTAAATTCAATATATACTTACTTACTTAGTATACTATTCATAACAATTTACTTATCTTTTCTATACAGTTAAACTTTATGAATATCTATCTATCTATAAATCTTTCTATCTCTTAGCCAAAAATTAGCAAAACATTTAAACTTACTTAATCAATCTTCCTTAAACTGTTTTTTATATCATATTAATATCTATGCTTTTATTTGTATATTCATCTATTCAATATTCATTAGTATGCAATATTCTTTTTTGATGATATTAATAATACCAAAATTTAACTTTTTAAGCTAAAATAATTTTTTCGTTTAGTTTTTAAAATTTAAAAATTTATAAAGTGCTATTAATTCTTTATAAATCATAGATGGCTAAGAATAAAAGTGATATTAAAGAATAAATATTATTAATCAAGTAAAGCACCATTTTTTTTTTAATATTATATTTTATAAAACCTACAGCAAAAAAAGGAAGTTTTACAGAAATTAAATGGGTATTTACTTAATTAAATAAAATGATGAAGGAAAAATAAAAAATAATGAATAAAAAATTATTTACAATCTCATTAAAAAAATTTTTAATTGTATAATTTCACATAATAAGTAAAAATCAGTAAAGTTAATCAATCATTCAGTCAATTCAGGCATCTGCTCAACAAGCCAAAATAACAAATAAGTAATTGATAAAAAATGTAAAATAAGACTTGACCTGCTCATCTAATTGTCATAGTATCATTCTAATAACAAGAGCAAAAACAAATCATGATTTGTAAATTTGGACTTTAAAAATTTTTTAGTTTAAAAAAATTAAGTAAATTAATACAATCTTTTTTGATAAGTGTTTAAAAAATAATTAAAAATTTAAGAATGAATTCTTGTTTATCTAAGTTGGATCTCTTTTCTTCGCATTTTCAATTCAATATTGGACAAAATTAAATAAAAAAATCCACCCCCTTAGGAATTATATTATCTCTTCTTATAATCGCCATAGGCTTGTCATATTACTCCTACTTATTCTGGCTGCTAACAACTAATCAGCTAGAACCAAACTATAAATCTCAAGAATTTATTACAGAGGATTCTATCGATATCAACTTATCTTAAGATCTAGTAGGTTTTAGATTTGAATATGATTTTAATATGCCAATAGACATCCTTTAAGCCCATAAAAACAAGACATATTTAGTTTATATGGCTTACTTTTACTACGTAAATAATAGTGATACTTAGTTGATTTAGCTAAATATAGTAAAATGCCAAAACCCTAATTTAATTGACTTTTATTGTTTAGATTTTTCTAACGTGTCAAATTACACATTAACAATAAACACAAAATAAAATATTTAATCATATGTCGATATTTTTATTTACGGGTGTCTTGACTAAGATGTTTTTAAAACTAATATCCCCGAAAATTGTGCTAGTTAAGATTAAATTGATGCGGTTATTAATGGTATGAATGCTGGAGTAAGATTAAAATTATTTACATCTTAGTTTAATGTTGGAACTATTTAAAACTAAATTAACTATAGAAATGCTTTTATTTATACAGTGGGTGACTAGTTAATTTAGTCTACATTTAAAACATAAAAAGCTATAACAACTGTAAAAGATGGATTGTTTATTTTAAATAGCAGAAATTATTCTTCTCCTCTTAAATATGATTTATTTAACTAGATTTATGATAGATAATATAGTCTTGAAAACATAGGTTAAAGCGGTTACAGCTTTATTTAAATAATAATGGATGAGATAGTTCAATAAACAAAGATCTAATATCCTACAGTCCCTGATGTTTTGGCTCTTGGTAACGGTATCATAACTTTATTAATGATTTTTGGTTTTTTTGGTAGAATGAGTTCCTTTATATCAATCAGAAACGATTTCTTTCTATTGATTCTATAAAATTTGTATCAAGGTAAATACTTAGATATTTTGCAAAACAATTAGATACTCTTAAGCTAATAAGAAGAAACAAAATAAAAAATTGAGTTAAATTCTAGTGATAGCCAGCTGACATTAGAAGAATGGAAAAAAAAGAGTCCTAACATAAGATATAGCAATTACAATTAATAATCAATAAAAACAAAGTAATCGTTAGACTGTTAATAGCAGTTATAAAAAAAATTTAGAGGTATTTCTTAGATTATTGATGAAAATAAAGATAGTGAGTTTAAATTTCAAAATGCATGGGAGAGTTATAAAGCTTAAATAAACTTTAGTAAAATCTTGTCTAATTTGAAAACTTTTTAAAATGAAACATTTTCTTAGAAAGTATTTTAAAAACTATTTAATCAACGGTAAATACCTTCAAAATTAGCTAAAAAATAAATTTATATTTGATTCACATGCTTCCAAATCTTAATTTATAAAGATATGCTAATTATGACATTTCTTTCAATTGACTTTTAATAGAATTTTATATTAAAATAAAAATTATTTTTTAAAAAGTTCAGGTAAGAAACGATAAAATCATGAAGAATAGATATATAATAAAAGAGCTAAAAAGTCCATAGAAGAGCAACTAAATAAGCATTTAGATATTTTTTAAATATTCTAAGATATTATATTTATAAAAAAAGCAATAATGATTTTATTCGATAAAGATTAACTAGCTGCCATAAAGTTAGTTGGTTGCTCTTCTAACTATCTAGATAGGATCACGGTAGGCTTAAATTAAATCAAAATAAATTTTGGTAATATTGATTTGAATTTTAAAGGAATTGCTTACAAATTTTTTTTATAGAAAGTTAAAACCATTTAGAAGAATAGCTTGAAATTTTTTAATCAAAGCAACTTTAGTGTGAAAAAATTCAATAGTTTTTAGAGAAATGCAAGAAAAGCAACAACTTAGATTAAATAGATAAAAGAATACTCTCCTCTCTTGTTTGATATTTATTTATCTGAAATTCCTTTTTAAAATTTACATCATTTATTATATTTTTTATAAATATTTTTTTAAGATTTAAGGTATAATTTGTAAGTATGTATGTAAATTAATTAATTAATTTGTATATCAAATAAACTATTCAATGTTCAAATAGTATTTTAAAGTTGATATTCATACATATTTGGCTTAAATAAAAATTTTACTTAGCCAAATTTGTCAATAAATTTTATTTAATAACTTAAAAAAATAATGTTTGGGTTGTTACTTTCCTGAACATATTTCTAAATTATATTTTTAAGCTTAATTTTTTATCCTATTGTTTTATTTGTAAGCTAACAATTTATTAATAAATATATAATACTGGTTTAACTTTTGTCATCAATCGTGCTCACTATACATTAACAGGAGAAGAATATATTTTACAAGAGAAATCTGATGGTTCTCAAAAGACTGTTGAAACTGCTTAATCTAATGTTGTAACAAGCAATTCCACTGCATAATGGAGATATTAAGATATTAATGTTAAAATAAAATAGGGAGATAATTTCTTACAAAAGTATTATTAAATTTATGGTAGAGATAATCACAGAGTTGGTTTTACTTTGGCAAGACATTGAATTTAAAGAAGATAGTTATTACAGTCTTGAATAGGCCTTCTCTTTAACTAAATTCAATATATACTTACTTACTTAGTATACTATTCATAACAATTTACTTATCTTTTCTATACAGCTTATCTTTATGAATATCTATTTATCTTTCTATCTCTTACTAAACATTTAACTTACTCTATCAATACTTCCTTAAACTCTTTTTTACTTCATATTAATATCTATACCTTTATTTGTATATTCATTCATCTATTTAATATCGATTAGTATGCAAAACTCTTTCTTGATGATTGTAAAAATACCAAAATTTAACTTTTTAAATCATAAAATCAGATTTTTTATTAGTTTTTATAATTTAAAAGTATCAAATTGTTATTGATTCTTTATTAATCATAGACCCCTAAGAATAAAAAACTAATTATATTAATATAAATCAAGTAAAACACAATTTTTTTATTAACAAAATATACAACAAAAAAAAGAAGTTAATTTACAGAAAATTAAATGGTAATTTACCTGTGTTAATAAAAATAATAAAAGAAAGAATATAATGATATAAAAATTATTTACAACCAATTTAAAAAAAATTTAAATTTTTATTTTGCTGTAATAATAAAAAATCAGTAAAATTAGCCAGCCAGTTAGTTAGTTAATCAATTAATCAATCAACACATGTTATCAATAAAAAGAAGAATAAATGAGAAATTGATAAAAATAGAAAAATAAGACTTACTTGATGGTCTAATAATTAATAGTAAAATTCAAATAAAAAATGAGAAAACAAACTATTTAAAAGTTAGATAATTTCTAAGTTAATAAAAATTAATAAATTTAATAAATACAATTTTTTTGATAAGAGCTTAAAAAATAAAGAATGAATAAATATATATCTAAGATTGATCTTTTTTCTTAGCAGTTTCAATTCAATATTGGACAAAACTAAATAAAAAAATCCACGCCCTTAGGAGTTATACTATCTCTGGTTATTATCATAGTTGGTGCTTCTTATTATTCCTACTTATTCTGTCTGCTTTTTACTAATCAATTAGAACCAAACTATAAATCTCAAGAATTTATTACAGAGGATTCTATTGATATCAACTTATCTTAAGATCTAGTCGGTTTTAGATTTGAATATGATTTTAATATGCCTATAGACATCCTGTAAGCCCAAAAAAACTAGACATATTTAGTTTATCTGGCTTACTTTTACTACGTAAATAATGGCAACACTTAGTTGATTTAGCTAAATATAGTAAAATGTCAAAACCCTAATTTGATTAACTTTTATTGTTTAGATTTTTCTAACGTATCAAATTACACATTAACACTTAACACAAAATAAAATATTTAATCATATGTAGATATTTTTATTTATGGGTGTCTTGACTAGGATTTTTTTAAAACTAGCGTTCCCGAAAATTGTGCTAGTTAAGATTAAATTGATGCGGTTATTAATGGTATGAATGCTGGAATCAGATTAAAATTATTTACATCTTAGTTTAATGTTGGAACTATTTAAAACTAAATTAACTATAGAAATGCTTTTATTTATACAGTGGGTGATTAATTAATTTAGTCAACATTTAAAACCTAAAAATCTGTAACAACTGTTAAAGATGGATTGTTTGTTTTAAGTAGCAGAAACTATTCTTCGCCTATTAAATATGATTTATTTAACTAGATTTATGATAGATAATATAGTCTTGAAAACATAGGTTAAAGCGGTTATAGCTTTATTTAAATAATAATGGATGAGATAGTTCAATAAACAAAGATCTAATATCCAACTATCCCTGATGTTTTGGCACTTGGAAATGGTATAATAACTTTATTAATGGTTTTAGGCATCTTTGGTAGAATGAGTTCCTTTTTATCAATTAGAAATGATTTCTTTCTACTGGTTCTATAAAATTTGTATCAAGGCAAATACTTAGATATTTTGCAAAACAATTAGATACTCTAAAACTAAGAAGAAACAAAATAAAAAATTGAGTTAAATTCTAGTGATAGCAATCAAACGTTAGAAGAATGGAAAAAAAGGAGTCCAAGCATGAGGTATAGCAATTACAATTAATAATTAATAAAAACGAAATAAGCTATAGACTGTTAATAGCAGTAGTTAAAAAAATTCAGAGGCATTTCTGATATGATTGAAGAAAAAAAAGTTTGTGAGTACAAATTTTAAAATGCATGCGAGAGTTATAATGCTTAAATAAACTTTAGTAAAATCATGTCTAATTTGAAAATTTTTTAAAATGAAGTATTTTCTAAGGCGCTTTTTAAAAAACTATTTAATGTTGGGTAATTATTTTTTTTCAATTCTCAAAATTTAATTCAGTAAACTAAAAAGATTATTTTTATTTATATTTCATATTCCAAATTTTAATTTAAAAAAGGTGTACTCAGCAATATTTATTTCAATTAAATTTAAATAGAAATTTTTATTAAAATAAAAATTACTTTTAAAAAAGCTCTATTAATAAACGATAAAGTTATGAAGAATAAATCTATAATAAAAAAGCTAAAAAGGCCATAGAAGAGCAACTAAATAAACATTTAGATATTTTTTAAATATTCCAAGATGTTATATTTATAAAAAAAGCAATCATGATTTTATTCGATAAAGATTAACTGGCTGCTATTAGGTTGGTTGGTTGTTCTTCTAATTATTTAGACAAGCTTACGGATCGGTAGTATTAAATTAAAATAAATGCTGGTAATATTGATTTTAGTTTTAAACGAATTTCAAAAATATTTTTTTTAAAGAAAGTTAAAACCATTTTGAAGAATAGCTTGAAACTTTTTAATCGAAGGAACTTTAATCTGAAAAAATTCAATAATTTTTAGATAAATGTAAGAACAACAATAATTTAGACCAAATAGATAAAAGGATACTCTCCTCTATTGTTTGATATTTCTTATCTTAAAATTTCTTACAAAAATTTACATCATTTATTTGTGTTTCATAAATAATTATTTTCAAATTTTAAGTAGAATTTGTACCTTTGCTAATAAAATTTGTAAACATTTTTATTGCAAATAAAGTATTTAAACTTTAAATAATATTTAGATATAATTTTAATCTAATTAATTTATTAGTAATTTTTATTTAGTAACTTAAAAAAAAATAATTTTTAGGTTGCTATTTTTCCAGAATATATTTATTTATTTATTAGTTTTATATTTTTAGGTTTACTTTTTTAACCTATCATTTTGAATAAAAAAGATAGAAATTTATTTACAATTCTTTTCATTTTGAAATCACTAAAAAAAGTTTAGTTAATTCATAAAAATCCCAGTTAAATTTAAAATGACATTTTATCTGTTTAAAATTTAGAATATATTAAAGATTTTTGTAAAAATTCATTTATTCTAACCAATTTTAGCCTTTCTGCAAAGTTCAAATAATAAAAAAGAGATATATTTTTCATCCATTTTTTTAAATATTTAAATGCATATGATTTATAACTAAAAAGTTTAACATTATCATATTTTTATCAAAGCATTTTTTGCCTAAAAAATAAAAATTCTTATGCCAATATGTCAAGATATAGTGCATATGTAAAAACCTATATTTGATACATGTTTTTTTTTTAAATTATATTCAAAAACACTTGATTATTTTTTACTTAATTAGGCAATTTATATAATTTCATTTCTATGAATTGAAGAAAATTTTGTGTTATTGATTTGACTAAAAAAAAATTAAAAAAATCCGCTTACTACTATCTCTCAATTACTTATCATTCAAAGTAAATGGTTTAACTTGAGTTTGAACGATACCTTTTTCACAGTCGTTTTTCCTTAGAAACACAAAAGCTACACTTGTTGGTTGGTGTCTAAAAAAACTGGCTAAGAATGTAATAGATAAGAGGAATTCTAGCCCAACACAGCCTTTTTTACTATTAACAATAGATTTTTAAAGAATTATCTGAAAATTCAAAGTTTTCAATAAAGAAATATTAACTATCGTTATTGCAGACACTAGTCCTTCTCTTATCACTGATCCTTCTGATGGCATCTTTACTTTATTAGATTAATATTGCAATTATCTTTCATGTTTTTACAAATACTTATTTAAATTTATATTTGAATGAAATTAGATCACTAAATTTTCAACACAAATTGCATTAATATTTCAGAATTACCTAACTTAACTTTCATTCATGGTACCCACTATATATTAAAAGGAGAAGAATATGTTTTATAAGAAAACTCTGGTAGTTATCAATAGACTGTTGAAACTGCTTAATCTAATGTTAAAATGAGCAGCTCCTCTGCATAATGTATTGTTACTTTCATGCTTCTTGATATTCCAAAGATGAAGAAAATTTCCTTCACGAAAGAGCTAGGATTTTTGTAATAAATTTTTTGTGAAATTAAACACTTAATATTAAGATATTAATTTTAAAATAAAATACAAGACATTAAATATAAAGAAAATATTTATTACAGCCTCGAATAGGAATCACCTTTAACTAAATTCAATATATACTTACTTACTTAGTAAACTATTCATAAAAATTTACTTATCTTTTCTCTACTGTTTAGCTTTATTAATATCTCTCTATCAATATTTCTATTTCTTAGCCAAAAGTTAATTTAACATTTAAATTTATTAAATCAAACTTCTTTAAACTGTTTTTTATATCATATTAATGTCAATGCTTTTATTTGTATATTCATCTATTCAATATTCATTATTATCTAATATTCTATATTGATGAGATTAATACCAAAATTTAACTTTTTAAATCAAAATTTTTAGATTTTTTTGTTTTGTTTTTAAAATTTAAAAGTATCAAATTTCTATTTATTGTTTATTAATCATAGACCACTAAGAATAAAGCAATACTAAAGAATAAATATTGTTAATCAAGTAAAAAACCATTTTTTTTAATATAATATTTTTCTTTACATACATCAAAAAAAAGAATCTATTTTACAGAAATTAAACTTAAGTTAATTAAAAATTATAAAGAAAAAAAGAAAATAGATAGATAGATTGATATATAAATTATTTACAATAAAGTGAAAAAAAAATTAAAATTTTTTATTTTGATATAATAAAAATCAGTAAAATAAGTCAGTGAATGAATAGTAACAAACTAACAATTAATAAAAAAAAATTCAAAATAAAATTAGCCATCTAATAGTTATTAAATTTGTAACAAACATATAATTGTTCCAGTATTGAATAAGATTTACTTTTATCTAAATTTAATATATAGTGTTACTCAGCCAATTTGAGACCCCCGTTATAAAAAAAAACTAACAATCATATATTAAATTTCATATACAATTTTAAAGCTTAAAGAGCCAATTTTAATAATCTAAAGTAAAGTAAAGCAAAGGAGAAGTTACCAAATATTGAATCACATTTTAAAATAAATTAATTGTTTAATTATATTTTATCACAACTCTTTATTTTCTAAAAAAATATATTTGACAGATATAAATGAGCGATTTCAATATATAAAATATTAATAGGGGTCTCATACTGAATAAACAACACTGTATAATTACTTAGTATATCATCATAACAATTTAATTATCCTTTCTATACAGTCAAATTTTATGATTATATATCTATCTCTTAACAAAAAATTAATTTAATATAAACTTACTCAATCAATCCTCCTTAAAGTCTTTTTTATATCATATTAATAATTATTTATTTGTATATTCATCTTTTCAATATTTATTAGTATGTAATGTTCTTTCTTTATTAATACCAAAATTTAACTTTTTAAATCAAAATAATCAGAATTATTTGTTTAGTTTTTTAAATTATCAAATTGCTATTAATTGTTTATTAATCATAGACCACTAAGAATAAAGGAATACTAAAGAAGAAATATTATTAATCAAGTAAAACACAATTTTATTTCTTAATTTTATATTTTTATTGATTAAATCTACACCAAAAAAAGAAATAACAATACAAATCAGTAAAATTAGCCAGTGAATGAAAAGTAACAAACAAGTAGTTGACAAAAAATTTGCAAAATAAGACTTAATTATCTAATAATTAATAATGATAATAACAAATCTTAATATTGTTTACAAATTAGATCTTAAATATTTTAAAATATTTGTAATTTAATTAAATTTAAGTAAATTAATAAAACTTTTTTTGATAAGAGTTTAAAAAATAAATAATAGAAACTTAAGAATGAATACCTTTTTAACTAAGTTGGATCTCTTTTCTTCTCAGTTTCATTTCAATATTGGAAAAGACTAAATAAAGAAATCCACGCCCTTAGGACTTATATTATCTCTGATTATTATCTCAGTAGGCTTGTCTTATTATTCCTACTTATTCTGGTTGCTTTTTACTAATCAGTTAGAGCCAAACTATAAATCTCAAGAATTTATCACAGAGGATTCTATCGATATCAGTTTATCTTAAGATCTAGTTGGTTTTAGATTTGAATATGATTTTAATCTGCCTATAGAGAACTTGTAAGCACAGAATAACAAGACATATTTAGTATATATGGCTTACTTTTACTACGTAAATAATGGTGACACTTAGTTGTTTTAGCTAAATATAGTAAAATGTCAAAACCCTAATTTAATTAACTTTTATTGTTTAGATTTTTCCAATCTAACAAATTACACATTAACATTAAATACAAAATAAAATATTTAATCATATATTGATATTTTCATTTATGGGTGTCTTGACTAGGATATTTTTAAAACTAGCATTCCGGAAAACTGCGCTAATTAAGATGAAATTAATTAAGTTATTAATGGAATTAATTCTGGAGTCAGATTAAAATTATTTACATCTTAGTTTAATGTTGGAACTATTTAAAATTAAATTAATTATAGAAATGCTTATATTTATACAATGGGTAACAAGCTGGTTTAGTCTACATTTAAAACCTAAAAATCTATAACAACAGTTAAAGATGGATTATTTATTTTAAGCAGCAGAAACTATTCTTCTCCTATTAAATATGATTTATCTAATTATTTTTATGATAGATAATACAGTCTTGAAAACTCAGGATAAAGTGGATATAGCTTTATTTAAATAATAATGGATGAGATAATTCAATAAAGAAAGATCTAATATCCTACAGTCCCTGATGTTTTGGCACTTGGAAACAGTATTATAACTTTATTAATGATTTTTGGCTTTTTTGGTAAAGTGAGTTCCTTTAAATCTATCAGAAAAGATTTCTTTCTATTGATTCTATAAAATTTGTACCAAGGCAAATACTTCGATATTTTGCAAAGCAATTAGACACACTAAAAAGAAGAAGAAAAAAAATACAAAACAGAATTAAATTCCAGTAACAGCAATCTAAAATTAGATGAATGGAAAAAATAGAGTCCTAGCGTAAGGTTTTGCAATTACAATTAATAATCAATAAAAACAAAATAATCGTTAGACTGTGAATAGAAGTTATAAAAAAAATTCAGAGGTATTTCTCATATGATTCAAATGATTGATGAAAAAAGAGTTTGTGAGTCCAAATATTAAAACGAGCCAGAGAGTTAAAAAACTTAAATAAACTTTAGTAAAATCTTGTCTAATTTCAAAATTTTTTAAAATGAAGAATTTTCTAAGAAAGTATTTTAAAAACTATTTTATAAAAGGTAAATAATTTTTTTCAATTTAAGAAATATAATCCAATAATCAAAAAAATAATTTTTTTATTTCTATTTCATATTCAAAATCTTAATTTAAAGCAAGGTTCTCCACCAATATTTCTTTAATTTAAATTTAAATGATGCTTTTATTAAAATAAATTATTTTTAAAAAAGCTCAGATAAGAAAGAATAAAATAAAGAAGAATAAGTGCATAATAAAAAAGCTAAAAAGGTCATAGAAGAGCAACTAAATAAACATTTAGATATTTTTTAAATATTCCAAGATGTTATATTTATAAAAAAAGCAATCATGATTTTATTAGATAAAGATTAACTAGCTACTATTAGATTAGTAGGTTGTTCTTCTAATTATTTAGACAGGCTTGCGAATGGATTAAATAAAATTAAAATAAATATTGGTAATATTAATTTTACTTTTAAATGAGTTTTAAACACATTTTTTAAAGAAAGTTAAAACCATTTTGAAGAATAGCTTGAAATTTTTGAATCAAAGCAGCTTTAATTTGAAAAAATTTAATAATTTTTAGAGAAATGTAAGAATAACAAAAATTTAGATTAAATAGATAAAAGGATACTCTCCTCTCTTGTTTGATATTTATTTATTTAAAATTTCTTAAAATAATTTACATCATTTATTTGTAAATTTTATAAATAACTTTGTTCAGATTTAAAGTAGAATTCGTACATTTGTTCTTGAAATTGTAAACCTTTTTATTGCAAATAAACTATTTAAGCTTGAAATCATATTTTAAAGTTGATATTCATTCATTCATTCATTCATTCATACATATTTAGCTAAAATAAGAATTTTATTTGATTTAATTTATTAATAATTTTATTTAATCACTTAAAAAAATAGTTTTGAGGTTTTCGATAATATATTTATTAGCTTTATATTTTAAAGTTTACTTTCTTATCGTATTATTTTATATTACAAATCAATAATTTATTCAATAATTTTTTCATTTTGAAATCGCTAAAAAAATTTAGTAAATTGATAAAAATCAAGTTAAATTGAAAATAAAATGTATCTGTTTAAAATTTAAAAAGCCTTTAACTTAATTAATATTCATTTATTTTAACCAATTATGTCTTTTTTTCAAAGTTAATATAAATAATATTACAACTTTTTCATATCTTTTTTAAAATATTTAAATAGATGTGATTTATAATTAAATATTTTAACAAAATAATATTTTTCAATATTAATTATAAATAAGTTTATGTGTATATTTGACAAAATAGTTAATTTGTTTATTTATTTGTTTTAACACAAAAGTAAGTAAACGAACATTAAAACTTTTTATTGTATTAATCTTTTAAAGTGATACATTAATTTGTTTTATTTTAATAAATTTGTTCAGTAAGAATTTAGATAACTATCAGTTTCTCTTTTAAATTCTGAATTTTCGAAGTTTTAATCTTCTTCATAATCATCTACTCTGTCTCTTAAATCATTTCCTAATGTTGAGACTTTTTCTTCAAAAATTTAAAGAACCTCATCTAAAAGACTATTTTCATTATTTCTTCTTGCTGTTTCGCTAATATATTTATTATGTTTGGCTTCACATTCCAAAAGATATTAATTCAAAATTGAGACAGATGCATTATGTATTTGCCATGATTAATCTTCGTGTGCCTTTGCAGACTGATGGGCGATATTTAATTTTTCTAGATAAGTTTATTTTCTTTATGTTTCATTAGCTAGATGTTCTAATTCTAATTCTGAATGGTGTAGCCAAGTAGCAAGATCCCATGCACTTTAAATTTCATTTTTAGTCAAATCGTCAATAGAATCTTTAAGATGTAGTTTTAATTTATCAAGTAAATCTACTAATTTATCACCAAGGGAATGCTATACATTTCTCTCACTCGATCCATCAGTAGCAGCTTCTAATTTTAACTCACCTTGTTTGTTGTCATCTGCTTCAGTGTTCCATGATAATAAATCACTGTCAACCTCTTAAGCTTAAGGAGCTAATTTTATTATTTAATATAAAATAATAAAAATCTTAGTTAGTTTCTAAAATATGCTGTTAATGATATGAATATTATGACAAAATTGTTTACTCTATGATAGTTAATTAAAAGCCCTAAGTGCTTAGGTATTGTAAAGTAAAGAGTATGCCTTAAGTTTATCTGTAACAGTTTTCACCTAAGATAAATTTGTGACTGCTTCAGTAGTGTATGGCTAAAGCTCCTTTTTTAATGAATCTATAACTTCCATTGCTTCAGAGTGTTCTTTGAGAGCTCTAATAAAAAATGCATTAGAAACACATCTTGATTCTTCTAATTAATCTCTTTTGTTATTAATTGAATCGACTCTGTCTTATATCCAGTTAATGTAATTTTAGGTTTGTGAGATTTCCTCATCAATGAATTCTCTTCATTTAAAAAATTAAAATTTTACAGAATTTGAAAAATAAAATTTTAAATTTTATAAATTAGGAAAGCATTTAATAATTAATTAATATATATTATTTATTTACCTATGAGCTGTAGCATCTTCTGCAACTTGGTTATTTTATTAAACAACTTCCTTAAGTTTTTCTATATTTTAAGAACATTCTTCTTATTAAGATGCATCAAGTTAATCAGCTGCAGTTTATTAATCAGTGTTAGCCTGTTTGAGATCTTATAATACTGTTAATGCTGAATCTACAGCGTCAGTAGATTTAGCCTATATTGCTAATAGATTAGTTAATTGATTATCTTTGCTTGATTCTTTGTTAGAAGTAGCCAATACACCAACACTTAGCACTAAAACTACCAAAATGGAGCTATTTTTCATAATCTAAAAATTATTTAGTTTATTTCAAAAAATAAAATAAAAAAATTATTTTTATAATAAAATGTTAAATATCTTTAAAATTTTATTTGTTCAATAATAAAATTAAAAATCAAAAACTCAATGATAAATCGATAATATTCAAATTATGAGTATTTCAAAAGCTATCCTTACTATTATATATTTGTTCTTTAATCTTTCAAAAAGATTTAATTGTTTCTTGCCATTTATTTTATAAAAAGAATTATTTTTAATTGTGAAATGCAAATAATATTAAATAGTTCATTTTAGCATTAGTTTATTTTTTAGGTTTTTGATATTTATCCTAATTCAAATCTTAATTTAAATTAAATAAATTGTTTTAAAATATTTTTTGTCAGTCAGTCATACATTAATTAATTAATTATTTTAGATAAATTTAAGCAAAATATCATTTTGTTTTTTCTTATTATGATAGAATATATGTATGTGAATTTCTTTATATTTTTAATAATTGTTAATATCATTGATAAATATCACTTAGCATATAGTATTGCCAAATGATATTAATTTTTTGGATAAGATCAAATTATTTTCAACATATCTCTGCTTGAATCAACTAGACAAAATCCTACTTTGGCAAATTTAATTTTCATATATATGTTGGATTGCTTAGAGATACTTTTTCATTATTTTTGAAAATTTGAACATTGCGATAAGTAGAAATTTGCGACTCAAATCATTAATCTAATTACATCATAATATGATCAACAATATTAATATCTCATTTTATTTCTAATTCAAATATTTTTAAAGATGTAAATATGTAATACAGAAGTTGAAATACTGTCTAGGTTAAAGAAATAGGTAAATTTTATATAAATTGGTTTACCCTCTCAATAAATTTGATAGATGAATGCTTGACTTTTATAATATTTGCAAATGTAGTTCTTTTTTGTTTTTTAATTCAAAATATTAAGAAGAATAAGTGAATAAATAGGTATTATGTGTATATGTATGTATGATTTGATGTATTAATTAATTGCTCAGTTAATAAATTAATTAATTAATAATTAGCATTTCTTTGATTTTTGTTAGCAGCTGCTTGTTAATTACTAAATTTAATTAAGATTTTTCAATGAAGTGAATATTAATTAAAATTTTCATTCATTTTAGAATGGAAATTTATCTAATAGCGTTTTTGGACCGTTTTTTTCTATTCTTTTATATAATTATCCCTTTCGTTTTGATTTGCATAAATAGTATTTATTCTTTAATGAAAAATTAAAGCGCTAACATTTAATTAACAAAATGAATGAATATTTTAATTGATTTTCATTGTAATTGGACTGCCTTTATTATTTCAATAAACAAAAAATATCAAAAAGGAATTAAATAACCATTCTTTTTAAAAGGCAAAAATTATATAGAATATATAAATAAATGAAAATAATTATTATTTTTTTAGCCTCTTTGTTTGTATTTTCCACAGCACTCACAGCAGATAATGCCATAATTAACCTTTAAAAGGTAACGCATTTCAATTATCAAAATAAAATACTTTAGGTGTTAAAATTGCAAAATTCTCGAAAATAAATCATAACATTTTTGATATTATTTGAAATAATGAAATGGCATTTATAAATTAATTGTTGAAATCTAAGCTCTAAAATATCAAAATGATACTTTATACTTAGCAGCTCTATTATATTAGGATAAAATATAGTGTATTTCTGAAAGAAAGAACATATTAAATAAGCTTTGATTGTTGAGTATACTTGAAATATATTTATATTTCAAAGATTATTGTATATAATAAAAGATATAAACTACACTGCTTTTGTTAATTTACAAACTAATACTTGCATCAATCAATCATCACAAAATTAATCAAAATCGATTTTATTATAATATTTTTTAAAGAAATTAATATATTTTTAAATGTTTGAAAATTTTAACAAAATGGGATTAATGTTGAAAATTAAATAGATAAGCAGATGTTGTTAGAATATTTGAATTTGAATATATTAAGATTAACTCCTCATATTAAAAGGAATGGTATTGTTAATAGTAATTCCAATAAGCTTTAAAGATGCTCGCTCCTTATATCAGAAAATATTCTTTCTTAAAATAAAAAATTTGTTTCAATTATTTAATTTTTTTTAAGAGATATTTATCTTGAATAATATCTAAAAAAATATTAAAATTAATAGCTCAAGAATTAAATATATATTTTACTTTAATATGTTTTTAATATTTTAAATTAGATTGAAAAGTCTAGATTTGGTAGAAATATCTTAGACACTATTTAGCTCTAATTAAGTGTGAATGACTAGATTGGTAGACTTGTTTCTGATTTACAAAATATAGCAACTGATATTTAAAATGATTAAGCTCAAGATTAAAAATAAACAGAACGTATTTAGTAAGATTGCTCAAATGATTTGAGCAGGTTAGAGGATGAAATACAAGATGCTAACCTAAAAGTAATTGAATCTACTTCAGATATCACTGAAAATACTCCAATCCTGGAATAAAAAAAAATTCTATTGAAACAAAAAAGTGAAAGTTTAACTGCAAACTAATAAATTTTATCTGATTTAGATCAAAATTACGAGAAAAAATCAGCCGAATATGAAGCAGAAAGAGAGGAGCACTCAAAAGCTGAATCTGTAATCAGAGAAGCCAAAGAAATTCTCTAGGGAACATTTGGATCTACTAAATCTTTTATAAGTATTAAGAAGCCTAGTGTTCAATCATTTGTGTAGGTTTCTAACCACTTCTCTCATCACTCTAAGACTAACTATAAGAGAAAGTCTTGGAACTCCTTTTTTAGAATTCTTTCTCAATTATCACAATCAGCTCCTATTTAGGCAGATCCTGGTGCTCTTTAAAAATTATTTGAAGTAATTGATGAGCTTTTAGAAAAAATTGCAGATTCATTAGAAATAGAAGCCAAAGCTTTTGAATAATTTGAATAAGATTATGAAAATAAAAAAGATGATATTTTAGACCGTATAGGAGTTTTGCAAAAAGTAATTGGAGAATTAGATGGAGAAATCTCCTCACTAGAAGCATAGCTTTAAGAAGATGCTAGAGTTAAACAAGTTTAGTAAGAGAGATCAGAAGAAAAATAGACAGAATTAAATTCTAGATAAGCTTTTTGCACTGATTAATAGAGCCAATTCGAAAGTAGAACTTAAGAAAGGTAAACAAATAAACAAGCAAACAAACAAATATTTTTAAATTAAAAGTTAAAAATTCTCATAAATTTTTTTTACTAAAAATAGAAATGAATAATTAGATACAATAAAATAAGTTACAGATATTATAAATAGTCAAATGAAAGTTCTCAAAAAATATGTTACTGAGAGATCAGACGAATAATCCCAATGAAACATTTAATGAATTTATTTCAAAAAAGATTCATTAAAAATTATAAATAAATAAATTTTACTTAAAATATTTATGATTGCATGCATTTATATTTTTCTTTGAAGAAGATGTTTAAATAAAAACAGAGTTAACACATTAAAATTGTTTTAAAAGTTTAAGTAAATAAATAAATAAAGTAATTGTTGAAATTATAACAAATTGCTAATTAATTATTAGAGAAGTTATAAAATAAAATACTTAAAATCAGTTTATTTTATTAAAAATTAATTATTTAAGTTCAATATTCTTTTTATCATTATAAAATAAAACATTAAAATTGTTAAAATCAAAAAAAATCTACTTTTAAAATATAGGCTTAGATGAAATTTATTTTTTTAATATAATTTTTCTTGTTTTTAATTAAGAAATTAATATAGAAGAAATATTTATTTGTTTTATAAAATGAATTTTTTATCAAAATAATCATTTTTTATCTTTGATATTTGTTTTTTTTTAGGATTTTACACTTCAATAGTGAATTCATTTTTAAAATCCCTTTATTTAAGAATAGCTTTTAAATTAATAATTCTCTTTATTGCTTAGGCGCTTAAAATTTAAAAAATAATTAAATATTTATGAAGAAAAATTATAAAAGAGATTTGTAATATTGAATAATCTATTTTTTTAAACTTTAGATAATAAATTAACATTGATCGATTAACAAATAGTTAGCAAACTACATATTTTAAAAATAAGAAAGAAAGAAAGATTATGGAACAAATAAGTCTACAAATACAAAATAGCTTAGAGGAAGCAATCAGCATTTTAAAAATAATTTCAAACTCATAGGAAAAGGGATTAATATTAACTGATATTTTAATCAACGACATTTACTTCATAAGAAATTTGATTCTTTCTGGAAAAGAAGAACAACTAAATAATTATTTTTAAGATTTAAACATAATTGTAGACAAAGCTAAATTAATCAAGAACAATCTTACATTTAGCTGTGTTAGTAAGTATGGAAATTTTATATAAATTTTTCAATAAGAACCCATAAAAGTGATATTCTAAAAAATCAACAGCATCCTTCAAAATATCAAAAAATAATTTCCAAAGTAAATAGATTCTAATGATGTTTATAGCTTAGACTCTAAAAAAATAGAATAAATTTTTAAATTGCATAGTAAATTATAAACATTTAGACAATATTAAAACATGAATTAATTCTAATCTTATCACTAACTCACTGTTCTCTTTAAAATGTGTAATGACTAATAAGGAGAGAGAGAAAGTCTATTAAAATCTATTGCCTCATTCATATTACCCACTAGTGTAAATCTTAATTTTTACCTTTTAAATTATTTTTACTAAAGATAGACTTTTGAGTTATTGATTAGAAATTTGATTAAATATTTAAAAAATCAATTTCATTATATTTTATATGGAAAAGGAAGGATAATAGGTAGATTACAATAGCATTTTTAAAATATTAGGAATTGAAAATAATAATCAGCCAATAAGTGAAAAGTCTCTTTAGTTGTTAAATATTTTTTTTTAAGATTGCTGGCTAAACAGGAAATATCTATTAAGATTATTTTAACAAGGTTGTCTGACGAGTTAAAATAAATAAATTGCTATTGAGTAATATATTCCATTAAAAGACTTAAAACTTAAAATATGCAATGGAGACTTTGAAGGAGTGATTCAAAGTTCTCAGTCCTTGCTTTTAGAAAAAAATAAATTATAAATCATAGGAGAAAGAAAAGTAAGTGAAATGAATTACTAACATAGTGTTAATTAAATATGTAAGTATAAATTATTTACTTTAGAACCTTACTGCATTGACTGTATTTTGTTAACTCCTATATCTAGATCACTTAATTGTCTTTTAGTAGAAGGTTAAGAAATAAATTTAAACTATGGAGAGTAAATAAAAGAATATAGCATTTGTCACGATAGCATGAAATTAAAACTAATTATCAATATGGAGAAAGAAACTATGTAAAAAAACTTATATGCTCTAATAGATGAAAATTAAATGAAATAAAAAGATGCTTAGGATAACATGTAAAATTTAGAAACCGAAACTAATACAAATAACACATCAAATTAGTAAATAGATTATTTCGAAGAAACAGAAGATTATGATAATAAAATGTTAAATTTACACAATTAATATAATTTATAAGATAGAGAAGCAGTATCTTTTTTTTCAAAATTTGCTCACACATCAAAAATAGTTATCAAACTATAAAAAGGTCTTAAAACTGAAAATGCTTTTAAAGAAGAGCTAACAAAAGAATTCTTCATAGATAATGACAATTCATTTTTATATTAGCTAACAAATAATGCTCATTTTTAATTTATTTACAACAAATTAACTTAGCAGTTAAAAATTAAACAAATCTTTCAGTAAACTATTTCTAATTTTGCTTAGAGATCTTTTTTAGAAATACCTAGAAATTAACCTTTGTAAATTTAAAAGGATACAGTGTTATTTTCACAATGTTAACTTAAGTACACATTTGATTTTAAATGATAGCTAAAAAACATTTTATAAGCTGTTTCATATTTTTGATAAATTAAGTATTTTATAAATAAATAACAGTAATTCACATTCACTTTTTTTCATTTAAAAATGTTTTTTTTCTTTTAAAATAACAATCTTAAATAGGAGCGACTAAAGACTGATAAAATGGATTGGATTGAAAAGTAAAGGAACCATATCCATCCATCAATCCAAAAGTATTTAAATACTCAACATCTCCTAAAAATTTTAAGTTGCTGATCTGGATTTTAATCCAGCCAGCTGTTTATGTTTATTTACTTCAAAATAATTATTTTTTATTTTTAATCATTAGATTAATCCAAATTTTCAATCAAATCAAATCAAATCAATCCATCCATCCATCCATCCATCAATCCTTCCATCTATTCGATTATTTTTGAGCTATCAGTTCGTCCATTTTAAAATAACCAAATTATAAATCTATTCATCTTAAAATTTTTAATGGTCTGGATCCATCCAATATCATTATTAATTTAAATAATTTAAACATACAATTACTTTAAAGTTTCTTAAATGATTGAATAAATTTTTATTAAAATATTTAAATAATATTTCAACAATTAAGAATATTTTGAATTTGTGTTTTATTATTAAGAAGTAATGTAAAGTTATTAAAATTTTGGCAAAAAAGATATTAACTAACTATATACATTTTAAATAAAAATATATTTAATTGATAAATATTTTAACATAAAATATAATTAATTCACTATTTTTCCATAATATTTTTAAAGATATTATTATTTAATTTTAATCAAAATATTGATTAATATATTTATTCAATTATTTTATGATAATATATTTTTTTTTTTGATTTTTAAACTTACTTTAACTTAATCACTCAAGATTATATATTATAAATCCTACTTTATTAACAAATAATATAAATAAAAAATAAACATTTTTAGTAATATGGTCATTTTAATATTGAAAATATATTTTATATTTTGAAAAATAAAAAAGTAAAAATATATGATATATACATAAAAATTCAAAATTTAAATAAAGCTTCTTACGATGCTCAAGTATTTCATAATATTTTATATCAATTTTTAGGGAACAGTTTTAATTTGTTAATTTAAAAATATAAATTAGTTATTTTATAATATTGAATGATAATTAAATTAAAGATTTAAGCAAAGCTCTAGTTTTTAATTTTAATATTTAACTAATACTTTATAATATACATTTTTTTAATTATTCATTTTAGACTAAAATTAGTAAGTTAGTTAATTAATTAATTAATTTTTAGTTATTTTATATTTTATAAAAATAAATTTTTTATTTATGTTAACTACTATTTATAATTTTGAATGTATTTTTTATTTATTTTTTTATTAAAGGTCATTCATTAATTACGTTTTTTAATTGCCTTCACTAGTTTGGGTTAGTAAAGTTTTATATTAGGTTAGTAAAAATCTAATTAACATTCTTCAAAGATTGTTGGAATAAATATTAACCTGTCTAAGCATTTTTTAACTTGAATATCTTTGAAAGATCTTCTTTTTCTTTTTATAATTTCTATTTAAAATGGTTTTTAAATAAGAAAAGCAATATTTATTAATTTTACCTCTTGTTCTTATTAAAGCTTTCTATTTTTAACATAATTTTATATAATTCTTGCTGCTTTATCTTATCTTCTATTTATCTCAATTTAATTTTAATACTCAATGAGCAGGGCTTTATCTTTTTTTATTATAGCAAGAGTTTGTTCATAACTTTCAGTCAGTATTTATTTATCTTTCTATTTTTATTTTCAAATTTAAAAATTAAACTCAATAAAAATGTTTTTTTAATATTTTTAAACTGTTACTTAAAGCTCTAAGTGCTTATTTTCTAAATGAGTATATTGATTCTTCCAGCTTTAATCTAATTCTTTCAGTTTTTACTTCAGTGTTTTTTCTGATTTTTATAGTGAAGAAATCTAATTTTCTCTACTTCCTCTTTGAGGTTCATTTTTTTTGAATTCAGTGTTCTTTTTTAAAGAATAAAAATAAGTTTTAAAAATTGATTTACAAATTTGATTACTAATAAATTTATGTTTTCTTATAAGAATCCTCTCTCTTGGAAGACTTATTCATTTTATTATTAAGAGATAACACTTTTTTCTTTTTCAATTTCATCTTCTAAATCATAGAGTTATTCTTAAAGTCTGTCTATTTTTTCTTTGTAATCGTAATTTATTTTTCTCAAATTATCAATCTATTATTTATATCTGTATAATATCTAATTAACCTTGAATAACCTATAAGCAGATTGTATTTTTCTAGCACTAACTTCTCTCTATTTAATGAAAAAGTTTTAATAAAAATACAAAATTTTCTAATAAATAAAAAATACCTCATAAACTTGGCTTGCTTTTCTGAATATGTATTGCTCCTTTTCTACTTATGATTGTAAAAATTCAATAGTTTTTTGTCTTTCTATAATTAATCTATTATATTGGTTTAGCTATTATTCAGAAACTCTTTATTTTAATAATTTCATTATTTGATAGCCAGCAACTTTCTCATCTAAAACCTAAAATTTATTTTTTAATGATAAATAAATTTAAATGACAAAAAAATAAACAAATTTTTTACTTCAATTTATTTTTCAAAATGAATCTTCTAAATTGCAAATGCTCCCATTAATTTTTTAACTGTTTGTTACCATTTTTTTTAAGCAATAAACTTTGAAATAACTCTAATTGAATTCATACATTTAAATTTATAATTTTATTCATTGAGCTATTTAAACTATTGGTTTATGATAACTTAATTTTCTTTTTACAGCTATTCTAAATTGATAATTTTATTTTCTAATTCTGTTAAATTTGTTTCCCTTTTTTCAATCATTTGCTAGACTTTCTCAATACAGGTGTTTTTTTCTTTCAATTCGAGTTATAATTCCACTATCTTATTTTATTCGTCTTAAATCTAATCAAGTGCTTATTTATTTGTAATGCTAAATTCTTCATTTTGATATTATAAGAGAGTATTCTTCTAAATTAAATCATCTACATTTTGTTAAAGCTATTCATTATTGCTTATAGCAGCATTCAATTCTTTTCTTAGCAAGTGTTTCTAGAAAGTAATCTATATCTTTCTCACTTTAAAATCGATATTGTCATGCACAGACTATGACTTTTATTAAAAAAAATAAGTATATTTAATAATAAATGATAATAAAATACCTTAATATTCTTTAATTAGAATTATAATTCTTCAACTGAATTTGTGCAAATTCTTAATTATTTTGATAAATTAGATAACTCATCATAAGATTATGCAAGCTGTTCCTCCTTAGCCTTGATATCTTAATTTAAATTAGATATTTTTTCAATATAAAAATTCATTTATTAGGTATCAGAATCTTTTTCTATTTATAGCTTTTTAAGTTGTTTTTCATTTTCTTATAAAATTTAATCCTATTGTTAAATTCTTTAATTAATTTCATCATTTTACTCATTAAGTTTTTTAATTTATTCTTGCAAATAAGTATCTAGTTCAGCTTAATAAAGCAATTAATCATATTATTTTTTATTCTCTATTTCGGCCTATTCCAGTTTATTTTATTCTGCATTTAATTTCCTTGTTTTTAAAGCTAGTTGATTAAGATATCTCTTAATTATTTTCTACTTTTAAATCCTTCTAAAAGCATTCTAAATTATCATGCAAGATAATTATTGAGTCTAAACATGAATCAAGTTAATTTTATCCTCTAAATCAATTTACAGATTATTAATTTTTTTAGCATTCTCTAATTCAACTTGCTTTAACTACTCAAGTAATTTTTAATTTTATAGATTCAAATCACTAATTTTTAAATTCAACTATTCTACTTGTTATTTTTCACTAATTATTATTAACTCAAGTTCTTCTATTTTTTTAGAGTTTTCATCTTTAATGCTTTAGATTTAACTTAAAAGATTTTCATTATTTTACTTTTATTATTCTTTATCTTAAATTTCTAAACACATTTTTTCATTCAGATTTTCAATTTATTCTTTCAATTCTTCATTTTATGATTCAAGTTTTTTGATATTAAATTAAAATTGTTCATTAGATTCTTATTAAAATGCTTCAAATTAATTATGCAAATCTTCGTATTAGTTTTATAGCTCTTCTATTTCTGTTTGCTTTGTTTCTAGTTTTACTTCATATTAATTGACAATTTATTCTATCTAATCTTCTAGTTACTTTTATAAACTCTCTTGTTCAATGAACTTTTCTTAGTATTCATTGATAATAGATTATTTGTCGTTTATTTCAGTTTAGAGAACCTGTTCAACATTTTCTTTATGTTTCTTGATTTCTTCCATTTTCTCCTCAATTGCTTATTACTTTGCTTGGACTTATTTTTCTAATATCATAATACGCTCTTCATTTATTTATGCCTTTAATTAAAATTGCTTGACTTAATTTTCTTACTCTATCATTTAAGCAATTTTTTATTCTATTTCAAGTTATTAATTTTGATTTAAATTCTCACCTTCAGAAACTAACTGGATTTAAATATCCAATTAGCCCTTCAATTCTGCTATTTCTTGTTAATGAGATTCAAGCTATTGGTTTAAATTTTCTATTTCAGATTGAAGTTAACCTTAAATTTCTTTATTACTTTCAGTTAATTGATTAATTTCATCATTCTATTCTTTCATTTCATTTTCATATTCATTAGCTTTTTCTGTTAATTCCTTTATCTTGTCCTTTAAATTTTCATTTTCGGTATTTTTTTATTATAAATTTGACTCTGACTCTTCAAAAATGCTTTTAAGTTCACCCATAGATAATTCAATTTATTACTAACTTAATTTCAAAGACTCGATTTCATTATTTTTAGCATCTAAAATTTCTTTTATTTCTCTAATTTAATCCAAATAAGTTTAATTTAATTTTTATAAATTATTAATTTTATCTTCAAGCTCTTAATTTAATTGTGCTATTTAAGCATTTAACTAACACACCTATTCTGCATTTTATTCATTTTATTCTTATTATTATATGCTTTTTTACTAAAGTTATGTTTGAAGGTTTTCTTGTTTCTCAACATTCTGCTTATTTATTTCTTCTAGATCGAGAATTTAATCCTTTAAATTATTTATTTAATCTTCGACTTAGGTGTTCTTTAAAAGCAGAAGTTAGATATGTTATTGTTTTTACTCTAAAGCTGTTTCTATTTCACTGGATATTTCAGAAATCTGCTAAATTTAAGAACATTTTTCTTATAACTAACTTTATAAATCTAAAATGACTTTTTCCTTTTCCTCAACAATTAATTATAATCTTTCTTTATCATTTTTCAAATCAACAATTTTTTATTCTAGCTCAGAATTTTGATTTTAAATGGATTTAAGAACAACTTCAAAGCTATTCTTTTCATTGATAATATCTTCTCTTGCTTACTTTAACTCTTCTTCTTTATCTTTAAATTGAATTAAATGCTCTTGAAGCATGTCCTTTTTCTCTTGTATTTCATTTTCATGCTAAAACTCTTTGACAACTATCTCTTACTTCAGCTACTCAATTTTCTATTCAAATTAATTATTCGATTTGACATATGATTCTATTTCTTTCTTTCTGTCAAATATTTCCTGATTCAAAATAGAAATTTCTTTCTTAAGGTCAGTTATTTGTTATTATGAGTGATTTAATTATTATTTTTGAGTGTTGAGTTGTTTCTCTGTTTCATCTAATTGAATTATTAATTCTTAGTTATTTATTTAAATCAAACTTAACTAACTAGACTATTCAGATAGCTCTGTATTTAACTTATCAAGCTACTCAGTCTATTATTCTATCTATTCTTTTTGTTTAGCTATTAACTAGTCTTTCTAACTATTAGTTAAATTTAGTTATTCTATTTATTAGTTAAACTATTTCAAGATAGCTTCGCTCTAAAGCTAGCTTTAGGCTGTTTTAATATTCAAATTTTCTAAATCTTACTAGTTTTTATTTTTGTACTGCTCTATGTCTATCTCAAATTAACTTTCCATTTACTATTTCTATTCAATAAGTTGCTCGATTTTTTGATTAAGTTACTCAATATTTTAATTAAGCTACTCAATTTAACTCTGATAAGAACTTGATTTCTAATCATAATCCTACAATTACTCCTCTAATTATTATTAGACCTATTATAATTTTTCTTCTTTTTCTTTTATTAAATTTTTATTTTTTTATATTTCTTCACTTTGCTACTCTTAGCAATCTTCATAATCTTCCTAAAGTTCATTATATTTATTCAAAAGTTATTCATAGGAATTCTTTTAATTTTAAATGTATTAATCTTTTTCAGTCAGTTATTTTTTCATAGATGCAATTTCTCTTTTATTATGCTAAATAAGTTCGTCTATCTTAATTTCTAATTGCTGCATCATCATACTCTTTTCTTCATTAGACTCATTTACAATCTTTTCATACTCAACTATCTCTTGTTTTTGTTTTTCAATTTACTCTCTAGCCTATTTTAGTTCTTATTCCAAGTCAACTCTGCCTTTCTCTAATGAGCTTTTCAAACTTTCTCTTTCAGAGTTTAAATAATCAAACTGAGATGTGTATTCGCTCTTGACTATATCAAGCTCTTGTAAATGCTGCTTTTCTCTCTCTGAAATAGATATTGTCTTCTTATTTAGCTCTTCCTATAACACTTTATTTTGCTTAGACAATTCCTAGATTTCTTCCTTCAAGGTATTAAGTGCTTAAGATTATGCATTTTCTTATTATTTTAGCTATTCTTTAAGTGACACATTTTCTTTCTCTTTTAAACTAGCTTTTTGCTCATTCATTTTTATTTGCTTCTTGTAATTTTCTTCCCTTTCTTTATAGCCATTGTCAATTAATTTGAATTACTAAGATAGCTCTATGAACTATTGTTCACTGTTTTCTTTTTCTGATTCCTTTATAAATGATTAATTAAAATAAAATGTTAATCCAATACATATTTCTCATATTCTTATTTAAAATTTACCAAATTCTTGTAGGTATTTTCTAAGTTGACTATTTCTTCATTCTTTTATTTAAGCTAGTCATTTAAAGACTCTGTTTGCTTAGCATAATTTTCAATATCTTGTAAGTACTTTATATTTTATTCTTTTAACTGATCTATCTCTTCTTCATATTCAAGAGAAGTTTTATCGAATTCTTCTAAAAAAGATTTTAATTCATTTTCAGTTTGTTTTAAAAGTTCTTAATATTTTTTTTCAATATTTTCAACTTCAACTTTTTTCTATTATTCGAGCAATACTATCGTATCTTGTTATTTAACTCCCTAGCATAAGCTCTATTTTAAATGTCTCTAACTTCCTTCTAGTTCTTATTTATCAAGCTTCACTTTATTTAAGTCCTCTTATAATTCCATAATTTTCTTTACCATTTACTATTAAAATATTTCCATTTTATGAATTTAGTCATCTTTTCCATCTAATTCTTATTGTAATTGCATCGAAAGCAGCTTTATTTTTTAAAAATTAACATTAAAAAAGTTAACAAGAAAATTATATTTTTACATAGTAGTCTTTCTGTTTATTCACTATTGGTTTATTAGTAACCTTCATAGCTCTTTGTCCAAAAGCTAATGAGGAAATTGTTTCATCCAAATGCTTAGCTGATGGTCCAATAGTAACAACTAAAGATGTCTTTGAGTTTCCTCCCAAAGAATCTTACAAAAGACGAGTAAGCTTGGATTCTCTGAAAGGAACAAAGTTAGATCTGCCATCTGAAAGAGCTGAGATACATTTTCCTAAAGCACTTAATGAGCTATTAATAGCTTTAGCTTCATGTAATCTATCTCCAGTAGATTTAGACTTCTTAACTCTCTCTGAACCAGCCAGATCTACCATGTACAAAATCGAAGTAACAAGAGAAATACTGTTATTATTGCTATTAATTTAATTCATAACATTAAGATCCTCATTTTGTAAAAATGAATTAGTATTATATTGAACTAATGAGTTATTAAGACTATTGCATTTTGATTACTCTTCAATAACCTTCTTGCTTCTCTTCTATACTTAAACCATTAATATAACATGACTTCTGCTAGAGCAAGCATTCAGTCTATTGTAATTAAAAAATGATAAAAAACATCTTTTATTTTATTTAAATAGCAAATAAATTAATTACGCTGTAAAAGCAACTGCCCTATTTTTCTCAGCGAGTCCTAGAAGTTGAAGGGCTTCTTAAGGATTTTGAATTATAACCCATTCTATTCCAGAAACAAATACTCCGTTTTCAGGTGATTCCCTGATTCTAATAACTTAATTCTCTGGATTGATTAAATCTTAGAGCTATTTATTATTATTATTATAAAATTTATTTTATATAAATCAAGAAAGGAAAAATTTAGTTCTACCATTTCCATGTATATTTAAACACAACTTAATTAAATAGAATAAATATTGCTAATATCTTCTTCAGCATAGTTAAAAATATCTTGTAAACCTCTTGGAATTATGCCTATATCCTAATCTTTTGAACCTCCGAGCATAGTAAAAGTTTTGCCTGTTCCTGTTTAACCATAAGCGAATATAGTGCCATTAAACCCCTACAAAACACTCTTTTTTATTTATTAATTAATAACCTTAATAAGTTTTTAAAATTGAATATTTATAATACTTGAATAACAGGCTATGCGACTTATTTATATATATCCTGCTAAGAAACTTTAGGCTCGAAAATTCCATCAAAATTAAATACCTTCTTTTCATAATCTTTTTTTACTATTTCATAAAAACATAAAATTTTTCTGTATTTTCTGTTTTTAAATAATTTTATTTACTAGCTATTATTTTATTTTTTGAGTCAAAGCTTTCAATACTGCATTGCTTGCACTGATTATATTCTTCTTCCAAAAATGGTCTAAGACGCACAAAAACCTTGACCTTTTCTTGCTTTTTATTAGTTGTTTCAAGTTATTTTTCTGAATTATTTTAAGCTAAGCCTGCAATATTTTAGTTTCCACTAATTTATTTTGGACTTGGCATGCTAATAGGACCTGATTAAAATAATATAAATTTATTATTAATACTAAACAACTAAAAAATTAAAATACTCAATTAATTGGCAGCTTAGGGCGCGTCGTTATCTAAAAAAGCATTTCTCTTCATTTATTTAAGTAATAATAATAAGTTGTTTGATTTTATAGCAAGTAGTTTGCTCTTATATCTCGTGTATTTTTTATTACTATAAAATATAAATCTATAAAATCTATTTAAATTGAATGATTTTTTTTTCTTTGTTTTTTTAAGACTTTATTTAATTTTGAATTGATTTTATCAATCAAATTTTTCGTATTTGCTTACTTACTTGCGTTGATAAATGATAATTAAATTTTGATTTTTTAAAAGTAAAGATTCATTTAATTGAACGAACACTATTTCAAATTTAATAGTAAAATCAAATAGAATTTAATTTTTGTTGTTTTTGAGATATCTTTAACATTTCATTATTGTATTTGCAGAATTTCAAATTTAAATATGAGATTAAGATTGAATTAGCTGATTTGTTAAATAAATTAATCAATAAATCCATAAAGGTTTATAATATAATTTAATTCATTACTTTTTCATATTTTTTATACTATTTCTCTCTATCAAAAATATATTTGCTTTTTAAGTGCTTAATTATATTTATTTTTAAGTATTTTCATTTTCCATTATTTGAATGAAATTCTTCTTCCAAATATAAGAAAAAAACTTTTTTAACTAAATAAATAAATAAATAAATATTTTTTAATATATTTATTTCAATTATTATCTCTAATTTCAAAAAAAAGAAGAAAATATTATTAATTTATTTTACTTAAAATATTTACTTTTTAGGATTTTAAATTTTTTAATTTTTATCTAATTTGAAGATTTTAATAGATTTTTTTATAGAGTGTTTGTTTGATCGTTTGAATAGGTTAATAAAAAATATATTTAAAATATATCAGTAAAAATTATGTAGAAATAAAATATCTTAGAAAATAAATAAATAAATGACAATGTAATTTTATCAGCAAAATTAAGTGCACTTAAATATTTTAAAAAAAACAATAGAAAATTATTGATATTTTAATGAAATTCTTTTTCCAAATGTGAAAAAATGTGAGAAAAAAACTTTTTTAACTAAATAAATAAATAAATATTTTTAAATATGTTTATTTAAATTACTATCTCTAATTTCAAAAAAGAAGAAAATATTATTAATTTATTTTACTTAAAATATTTACTTTTTAGGATTTTAAATTTTTTAATTTTTATCTAATTTGAAGATTTTAATAGATTTTTTTATGGAGTGTTTGTTTGATCGTTTGAATAGGTTAATAAAAAATATATTTAAAATATATCAGTAAAAATTATGTAGAAATAAAATATCTTAGAAAATAAATAAATAAATGACAATGTAATTTTATCTGCAAAATTAAATGCACTTAAATATTATAAAAAAAACAATAGTAAATTATTGATAAATCATGTGTAATTATTATTATTATTTTTTATTGTTATATTTATTAACAAACAAGCTACACAACACAACGAATACTTTTGATTAAATAAATTAAACTAATAATTTGCAAAAATAATTAATCTTGTATGTTGCAGAGTAATCAGAATATATTTAATTAGTAAGTTCAATAATAAAGGCTCTCTTAATGTCATTTTGATGGTAAATTAGAGCTTCAACAAAATCTTTCAGCAAATAAACATGTCAAAAAGTTGAATGTTGTTTAGTTAGATTTATAAAATTGCTAGTTGCCATTGCTGAATTAAGCTAGACCTTCTTGGCTCTAGGAATAATTCTAAAATTTAGTTTAATGTTAAAATAAATGGTAAAATGATAAACACTAATTGCCCTAACAAAGAGCATAAACCTCTTGCCACGGAGACAAAGAGAATATTTAGTCGTTCATTCACGAAGCACAACCTAGATCTAGAACACCATTTAAAATGAAAGAAAGTGCAGGAAAATACTATGAGAGGGAAGTCTATTCGTCACTAAGTAAAACAAGAGATACTCCTCATCTAAACAAAAAAATTTTAGAGTTAAATATAGAGAAATAGAATGATTAACTTGAATTCAAGCGAAGATAAAATAAGAGACAAAGTTTAGAATAGCATCATAGTAATAATAGCCATAGTGATATAAAAAAAGAAAAAAATAAATATAATAACTTTCTGGGTTAATACCATGTCTAACAGCAGTCAGCATCATCTTGTAATACAAGTTCTCATTTAAACAAAAATATTTAACAAAATCAAGATAAAACACCTCAAAAACTCTCCTAAGCTGAAATAGCATAAATGACTTTTCAAAATTCATTTTTAAATATAAAATAAATTCTTAGCAAAAACTCTGCCGCCACATTTAACACTGAAGAAAATGAAGTAATTAAAACAGAAGAAAAAGAACAGCAAGAATATCAAAAGATAAAATTAAACAAGCAACATTCTTCCAAAGAAAGCTCTCTAGCTTCTTTGAATAGCTCAGTACCTCTAAATAGCATTTTGAAAGGAGATTTAAACTTATTTAGCTAAAATGGATAGTAAAATTGCTAATAATATAACAGCACTTATATCACTAATCTATTAACTCCTATATCTAATTGTTGTAGTAAAAATATTAAAACTAACTAACAAAAACCTCAAATAGTTCTACTGACAGAAGAAACATAATAAGAAAAATAAGAAATTAAAAACTAAGATAAAGAGTTATCATAATCAGAAAAACAATAAAAATTTGAAGAGGAATAATAGCATTGTTAGTAGAATGCAAGCGGCTTACAAAAGGATCTATCTTCTAAATCTAGTAAAATTGTGAAAATAGAGATAATTAATAACAGTCAATAAATAAATAATATATAAAAAAGGAATAACAGTCAATAAATTAATAGTGAAGAACAAATTAATGAAAAGGTTACTGATTAAAATGCAGTAGATGGAAATTAATTTAATAATGAGAATGATTAATTATAACTTGTTGAAAATTAAAACAACTAAAATTAGGAATAATGCAGATTAACTAGTGAAAACGAGAGATTAGCTAAGGTTTTTAATAATTATGAAATTCAACAAAGAATTAGGAAGGTTAGACATAATAAATTGAAGAATAATCCAAATGACGTTTAAAACACATATTATAATGTAAATGTTTCGACTGATGATTATGTAAATACTAAGTAAGATGAAGATATTATAATGCAGAATCTGAGTTTGTTCGAGAATCATGTCTTAGATAATGATAGAATTGAAATTAATCTTGATTAACTCAAAAATAAGAATTTTGGCATTAACACTATGGATTCTTTTAGGAAAGATAAGATGACAACTGCTCGAAGCAGCAATGCAAATGTTGTAAATGTTAATTTAATTTAGAATCCAAACTACAACAAATAAAAAAACAAACAAATTTAGCCAAATATTTTGAAAGGCAAAAAACTAACTTTGAAGTAGTTTGTAGAAAAAAATTAAAAACTGAAAAAATAAACACCTCATTTTTTGTTAAAGAATGATATTTAAATCAAAAATGTGCAAGAAACATTAAATCTTACTTAAAAAAATGGTTTTTTGCTTTACGATATTGGCAATTTAACGCAGAAAAGCGAAGTTGATAATAATGATGCTCTCTCTGTACATAGAATAGACATTCACTCTGCTGATTCCCAAAACAATAAATCTTAAAGATTTTATCATGGAAGTCATATTAGAGGAAAAATTGCAAGTTTAAGCTAATCTAAAGCAATTTACAATAGTATTGATGATGATAATTCAATTTATGCTCGAAATGCTTACGAAAGCCACACAAACGAAATGATAAAAACGAATGCAAGTATTTACGTTTCCTAACTCATTTGTAAAACTTAAGAAGAAATCTAAATTGATAGCAAACCTAAGATTTTCATTTAAGAATAATCTACTAAAAATTCAAAAGAACAACTATTGAAAACAAGCGAATAACAATATTAACTCAATGATGTCATAAAACCTGTAAAAGAAAAAAGAAGAAGAAAATCTGTATACACAGAATTAACAACTAAGCTAGACTAATCTCTTTGTGATGGATCTGATGAGTAATTGAATAAAACATTTGATCACCAAAGAAGAAAATCTCTTATTGTTGGTTATAACAGATAAAACACAATCAGTAATTAAACGAGTTTAGAAGAAAACAATCCTTTTAATTTAAATAAAAAGACTGGGAGAAAAATGATATTAAGCACTTTAAACTACAAAGAGCTGAGATAAAATAATGAAAGATATCATAACGAGGACTTAACAATCATAGAAAAAGAATAAAAGCTCGAATAAAACTCTCCCGAAAAAAGCTTAGAAGCTTCTTACATGAATTAAATTCTTCATTCAAAAAAGACTTAAAAAAATAGAAATGAGAATCCTCTTATTTAATTAAATAAAATAAAACAATCTCATAGCAACTAAAATTCTGCTAACAATCAGAAAAAAGCTGTCTCATTAAGTCTCTATTACATCGCTGGGAACTAAAATAATGACATGCTAATATCAAACAAACTGACACAAATTGATAGGAAAAATGTACCTATTTCACTTTATTAGTAGCTGAGTAACTAATAAAAGAATTAGCAAAAATAAAATACTCATACAAATAACTTTTATCAATAAAGCATTGATATAAAACCTGCTTCAATAAATCAATACTAAAAATGATTATTTTAAATTTATTTACAATAAAATTTAGAATTATTAATAAGCAAAAACAAATAAACTTGTATGAAAAGATGAAATCAATTAATTTAAATTAGATAACTAATATTTATATAAATATGTATATACTTTATCAAAATTCTCTGTTTAAATTGATAAATAATGATCAAATTATTAATCATTGAATTTAATTGTACCTGTTTTTTTTAATAGAATTTATTTATATATTTAAAATGCTCTCTCTCTCTCTTTTATTTAAAAAAATTTTTTAAATTAGGTAGGTAATTATTCTAATTTTCAATTATGAAAGAACAGATTATTATATTTTGAGAATTTTATTTTTTATATGAGAATAATTGCTTTTAATTTTTATTTAAAGCAAGATAAACACGTTTTTACAGTGGTTTTTGTTTATATTTATAACATTAAATTCTACAAAAGTATCATAATAACTTTATATTTTATTGATATAGAGCTTAACTTTATAACTTATTATAAAATCAATTTAATTGTTAAAAATTAACTTCTTTCCATTTTTTTAAATAAAAACTATTTTTTTATCAAATTTAGATAAGTTTTTGAAAATAAATAAGAAAATGCTAAATTTTTAATGTAAAAAAATAATTTAATTTAAATAATAAAAATTAAATAATTTGTTAAGGATAGCAATTATGTTATTGACTGAAAATAT